ACAGCAATTCTTGAAATATAACTTTTCTTTTGAGAAGTTTGAAGTAACTTATCACCAATTTTATTTTCTTTTTTCCCATTCAAATGTTCATATTATTATAACTTCCTATTAATAGCTTTCTCATGGATACATACCATGGGCCTCCCAAAGATTGGTTATGATCGGTGTGACACTGGCTTCTCTCGCATATAGGGTGTGTAATGAGTGTTTGTGGAGCACTCCTGGAGGGCAAGAATGTTCTGGCTTTCCTGATCATTCAGATGAAATTCAATTCAATTCAACAAACATTTTTGGCCTCGTTTTACCTATCAGGTTCTCTGCCATGTGCAGGTGCAGGAAGGGATTGCATCGTCTGGTCCTCATGTCAGCATTTCCTGTCAGTAACCACACAGCTGGCAGTCAGGATGATGGAACGATTTGGGGGAGCCTGATATCTCCCAGTCCCACATATGCTCTTTGGCCACAGTTTAAAATAAACATGTTTTTTTACTCTCCTTGTCCCACGGGTTGTGCACTATTTTTCAAAATCCATTAAGAATAGCAAAACCAGGTCACTCGACTTGCTTACACTGGGCTCTGATTTCTGCATCTTGACTCTTGGTTCAGGTATGTGTTGATCTTGAAAAGCATCAATGGGCTCAAAGCGACTGTCCCATCTGTAGCTCCCCTGGTCCTCCTCACCCCCTACTTTTCAGTAGATAATTTTGCCTCCTTTACAAAGATCCATATGTCTATCTTAAGGTTTCTACTCTATCTTTCCTCAGTGTCACTGCCCCTACTGCTGTCTCTAATGTCCCCCATGATCTTAGTGAAATAGGTTTCTTTCCTCAGGAAAAGTAATGTCTCCGTGCATATCTCAGATGCCTTTCCTCTTTCCACGTCTGTCATTCTTCCCCCTTCCACCTCAAAATCTCTACATATGTCACCCCACTCCTTTCCTCTTTCTCAATCTCTGAGTACAATTGGCTGGAGTCCTCTTTCAGGAGGAGTATCTCTCAAGTCTCAATAATTTCTTTCCTTGTCTACTGTGGCATTGTGTCATCCTGGTCTTCTCCCATTTCTCTGATTTTTTTTTCTGTTCCCTCTATTGATTATGGCCTGGGCTCTTCACCCTTTCCACACTATTCTCACTCATTCATCTGTCCATTTACTCATTCATTCAGGATTCGTAAAGGATCTAATAATCTGCCTTGTACCAACCTGGGCATAGGAGTACAGCAGCAAACAAAACAAAAAAAAGCTGCTTTCATGAAGCTTGCATCCTGATAGGAAGAAACAGAAAATAAACAAGTGCATTAAATTTCAAACAAAGTGGGGCACCTGGGTGGCTCAGTCGGTTAAGTGTCTGCCTTCAGCTCAGGTCATGATCCCAGGGTCCTGGGATTGAGCCCCACGTGGGGCTCCCTGCTCAGCAGAGTGTATGCTTCTCTCTCTCCCTCAGCCTCTCTCCCCTGCTCATACCCCCCCTCTCTAATAAATAAATAAAATCTTAAAAAGTAATTTTGGATAATAAGAGAAGATATAAAGAACAAGAAGCAGGATAATGACATAGAGAGTAGCTTCAGGTGGGGAAGTGAGCAGGAAACTAGTTTAGAAAGTGTGACCAGGAGTGCCACTCTAAGGAGAAGTCATTTGAGACAAGACCTTAATGATAAGAAACTAGCCACAGGATAAAGAGCATTCTGGGAAGAGGGGACATCTGGCACAAAGACTCTATGATGGGAAAAGCTTAATAAGTTTGAGGTACATTTTTAAAAAATGTGAACATTGTGAACAAGATAAGTGAACAGCCAGTGCCCAGGGCAGGCCTTATTAGGCCATGGTGAGGAGTCTAGATTTTATTAAGGTGCAACGAAATACACTGAAGGGCTTTAAGCAAGGAAGGTACATGATCTTATAAAACACAAAAGATGCTCTAGCTACTGTTTGTAGACTAGAATGGATGGTTTCGTCCATCCACTGTAAGGGAAAGATAACCATCAAATTGGAAAGGGTTAAAAACAAAGCAGTAAAAAAGTAGCGAAGCCGAAATGGCAGAAAGGAGGAAGACGTAACTGGAACAATTAAACTGAGGTAAAAACTCTTGAAACAAGGCAGAAGGTACTTGAGGGAACTCAAGGTACTTGCGAAAGTGACGGAGAGCCACTGCCAAAAATCAAAGAAAATGTCAGAAAACTGGAAAAACCAAATGCTCCTATTTTCAATAGAGGAGAGACAGGGGAAGGGTATATGCAGACCAGAAGCAAATACATGGTTCCTAAAATCTCAAGTAAAATCCTCAAAGTGACTAAAATGGGAATGGTAAACGCTTAGAAAAGAACATTGTGATTATTTCCTAATAGCACAAATGGATGTAAGAAAAATTATGTAAAATGAAGCCAATTCCGATTGTGGTAGTAGTGGTGGTTGTGGGGGTGGTGGTTGACAGATTTATCAGACGGAGAATACCTCAGTCGCTCTATGTATTTGGACCCATCCAAATTCATTTACTTTCAATAAAATCATAGAACCCCAAAGGTTGTTGGAACCTTATCTGTAATCTATTCCAAATTTCTAACCTATATGAGATTTTTTTCCCCTGCAACATCCCAGTAATTCTTTGGATAACGACTGCTTGAATATAACAAAAGGTAATTTATTCCACTTTGGAATCATTTGAAATATATTGCTGAACATCTATTTCCAAGTAAATGTAAACCATTAATCTTACCTCTTTTCTCTGGACCACTATCAATGTAATTTTTTTCACATAGACCCTATGATTTAAATATTCAGGATGTGTCATGTTATAAATATGGAACATAGATACATTTCAGTATTTATTTGTGATTGAGCAACCATACCAAAAAGTCTAATTAGTAGCTCATTATCAAGCTAGAGTGAGGCCTCTAAAATTGTATCAATGGACTCTTTGGGTTTTTTCCCCCTATCTATTAAAAAACAAACAGACCTATGTTTAGATCAGGTGATTGTCAAGACTAGAAGTAAAACAAAGCTAAAGAATAGAGATATGTTGGATGATTCAATCCGGATTCAATAAGAGTATTAACAAGCTGTGACAATTAGTTGAAACTGGTAAACGTTAACAGCAATACATGTAGTTCTGTAATCATTTTTCCAAAATTCAGTGTAAACTAAAAGTGACTCTGCAACAGTTCAAGTGAAAAATACTTAGGAATTTTAATTGACCACAAGCTCATTAGGAGTGAGGCGGGGCAGTAAATATATTTGAATAGACATACCCTCTCCCTCTAAAGCAAGTGTGGCTGTCATTCCCCTGGATTTACGTTGCTCAGACCACACAGGGAACATTATCCCCTGTTCTGGATGTCACTTTGAGAATCATGTTGACAAACTAAAAATCTTCCTGAGAGAGAGATGATAACAGTTGAAGGACCATTTAACGGAGTGTGGGGAGGGAAGAGGAGTACAGAGAATTCGATTGAATGTAAAAAAGAACTTTGAACAACAGAAGGAACTAACTTGGGAAGTAGTAAGCTCTTACCACTGAAAAAGGTGGAGCCTATTCATCAGGAAGGCTCTTGGGGGATTCATGAATTGGAAAGGCTGAATTATAATAGCCAACTTTAACTTCTCTTCCAGGCTTAATTCACTGTGCTTCAAGGGCTTGGCCTTCAAAACAACATAGAGTTTATGGCCTGGTGGCTCCCTGCCCAGGAAGATCCTATCTTGGAGAACCTTCTGCTGTCCTGTCATATGTTAGGAAAGAGAATTTCCTGCCTATGGTTCGTTTACAGCCAGCTGTTACTCTCCCGTTCTGTTTTGGGATATCAGGGTCAAGCTTCCCCTTTTGGAAAAGGAGCAGGAGGGACTAAGAAGGGCCTGGAGGGGGAAACTTTTGTATTAGTCTTTCATTTCAGTTCCAGGCATTCCTAATGTATTATGTCAATTTGAGTCTATAACAAATCTGAGTTCGAATTTAAAGTTTCAGGTTTCCCTTCCAGAGATGCGGCGGCGGGGGGGGGGGGGGGGGGACGGACTGAAACAGCTGCTAGGACTAGGGAGTGGCCAACCGTTGGAAGAAGCCAAACCACAATCTATCTGCTTTTTAAACTAAAAAAAAAGGGGGGGGGCAAGAAAAAAGAAAAAGCGATTAGAACAAGAGGGAGCTGCCCCCACGCCCAGCACCACTCGCACGCTAAGGCTTGAGCGCCTCGCTGGCGCAGGAGGTGAACACGGAACAGGTGCGCCTCACCCCTACCCCCCTTCTCCGCAACAGGGATTGTCTTGCTGCGTTCGGTGTGCCCGGACCCCATTACTCAAGGCTGGACAAAGGCTAGAAGAGGAGAACAGAGGGGGACGGGCTGGGGGCGGAGGGGGGGGTGGGGGGGAGCCCGGAGCTTCTCGTGTACAGTGTACATTACAGATGACATCATTGCCCGAAAGGGACCTGGCGCTCGCGTTCCTGGAGCTGGAGGCCAGCATGCCTGTGCCCGCGCGGCGGCGGGGTCGCCCGGGGGTGTGAAGCGGCGCGAGGAGGCGTGCCCGGGGCTGGGGAGAGCCGCGGGGACCCGGAGCCAGCCGGCCGGCCCAGACACCGCGAGGTCTGGAGGGGTTTGCGCCGCCCCAGGCTCCACCCCGCGCTCGGCCCTGGGAGGGGCACGCCTGTTTGGGGGTGGGGAGCGTGTGCACGAGGGGTGGGTCCGTGGTGGCGGGGGGGGGGGCGGGGGGCAGGACAGCCGCCTGCGCATGTCAAGGCTGACAGCAGACGCGGTCAAGGGGGACCCGGAGCAGGGCAGTTGGCCACCCGCCACCCAGGGTCGGGGCCCCGCACTACCTGGGGGCGAGCCCGGGGGAAGGGGCCCGCCCTCCCTGCCTCCTCCCTGCCTCCTCCCTGCCTCCTCCCACCCCCACCCTCTCCCGAGATCGGCGGCCCGACCCAAGGAGCCTCCGCCTCCTTCCCCGCCCCTCCGGACCTTCCCGGGGAGCGGCGGGCGGGCGTGGACGGGGCCGAGGGGGAACGGATCTAGGAGCTCGGACGGGGTGGCCGGGCGGCCTCGGGGGAGCGGGGCGCGCCAGCTCGGGGAAGCCGGGGCACGCGGATGAAGCCGAAGCTGCGGGGTCTCGGCGGATCCTGGTCGGCGCGGCGCTGTTCCCAGGGGAGGTGAGAGGCGGCTCGGCAAGGGCCCCGTGGACAGCCCGGCCGCCTAGAGCCAGCGCCGTTCTCCTCCAGCCCAGCGGGCGCGGGGCGCGGGGCGCGGAGCCGGGGGCGCGGGGGCGCGGGGAGGGCGCTGTCCGCGGTGCTGAACCGGATCCCGGCAACGGGCCCCGGGGACCGCGCGCTCCCCGGCTCGGGGCGGCGCGCCCGCTCAGCTCGGAGCCGAACCCCCGCCCAGCTCGGTCGCTGGCCCTTATTTGGGCCCGAAAGTCGCCCCCTTGGGGCAGTTCGTCCCAAAGGGTTTCCTCGAAAGTATCGGAGAGGGCGAATTGTTGACCGCGGGAATCTCCCTGTGTAGCCCCGGAAGCCACCCGCCAGAAAAAAGATGCCTGCCTTCAACAGATTGTTTCCCCTGGCTTCCCTCGTGCTCATCTTCTGGGGTAAGTACCAGCCCCCTGCCATGCGAGATGCAGAGAACAGTAATAATGCCACCAATAATAACACTTGATTCGTGTCGTTTGTGACAAAAAGGAGCCCCGGTTGGCTTCCCTCTAGGCTTGCCTGCCAGGCACGGAGATCCATAGGGGTTCCATGAGAGCTGGGATTTTTGAGATTGGAAAAACACCTCCTTACTCTCCTGCTGCTTTATTCCTGAACCACCCTTGCTGGTTTTCCCACCACTCCTCCTGTTTCCTGTTGATTCCAAAGTATTTTCCCCCCTTTTCCTTTGCTGAAAGGGAATGCAGTCATGTTCATTATGAAAAATCTCGGTTGCATTTACATTTCATTTTTTTCAGTGAGAAATCGGTGGGTCTTCAGATTAATTCCCGTGCCTTTTTTAAAAAAGCCGGGTGCACGCATTTTGAGAGTGAAAACACTTTCTCTGTTGATCCATTTGTTTGATTCTAATAAGGGAAATAGGCTTCAGCCATTTGCAGCTATGGCTTTGATTAATAGGCACCTGGGCATTGCATCTTTATTCTTTTTCATGAATGTGCGAAGCTAAGGTGCTTTGGTATTTGGGAAGCTATGCGTTTTTTTGCTTTCAGAAATGAATAGGTTCTTGTTTGCTGTGAGGAAATAAGGTGACCTTCTCCCTCCAAATAAGGAAGACCTTCACTTCCAACAGTAAGGCTGAGCAGAGTAGTGTCGGAGTGAGGTGCCTGCAAGTGTGTAGAGCGAGTTAACGAGTCTACGTGATAACATCTGAGTATGTGATTGAGAGTATGCTTTACTGTGTGGATGTGTATTCCTCGGTGTTAGAATGTGTGTGTTAGTGTATGTCTGAGCATGTTAGAATGGGCACCTGAATGGACTGGTGAGGATGTGTGTACGTGTGTGTATGTGATGGTGGTGTAGTTGTGGGCATCTCTGTTTTGTGCCTCTGATTAGACCCTCAGGTCAAATATAAGTGCTCTTCAGTTGATATATTGCTTCACATGATCTTCTACATTCCTACTTTTTCCATGCTTTTACCTTCCTCTATGCTAAAAATCAATAACCAGGATAATTAGAAGTGATCGTGCCCACCTGCTTTATTGAAACCGGGCATGTGGGATTATTCTCCTGTGGTTGGCATGAAACTCATCCTGCCTGTGCAGTGGCAAATATGCTGATGGGAATTGCCTCTTTGCCTTAGTATCACTTTATTAAGCCTCCAGGAGTTACTGGCTGCCAGCATTATCTGGATTGTGCATGTGACCAAAAGCAAAGCCAAGCTTCCTGTTGAACAAAATGCCTGATGAGACAGTCCTGGAAGGACAAAGAGGGAGAGTAATGCCAATCCCAAGGGTAGACTCACCGCCATCCATTCCCAGTAGAGTAGACTACACCTGAAGATGGAGCAGACATAATAGGTTGCCAATGATCTCACCTGCCTTGAAGATTTAAGGCTGGGATTTCCTCGGGGGAGAGGCTAAGACTAGGGCCATGAGGCTTCGGAGAGGTTTGTCTGGCTGGATAAGAAAGTGTGGGTAAAGCAACGGGAAATGAAGTTGCAGACAAGGGCCCAGGTAAGATTCTAAAGAGCCTTTCTTCCCAAACCTTAATTTAAATGTTTAGCATCCCTGCCTGCATTCCAGGGGTGGGGGTGGGCATGCCATTTTATTCCGAGCCCCTCTTAAGACTTACAGAGCTTGGCTTAGAGTCTTAGCTCTGGAGTCTTAGTTCTGCCATTAGCTTGCTATGTAACGACCTTAGAGTATCTGGTTCCTCATAGGTAAAGTTTGGAAGTTGGAGCAGAAAATGTCTAAGACTGAAGAGTAAGGAAATAGTTACAGAATATTGCTAAACTTGGCAGTGTCCACCCCTCTCTTCACTCCCACTCCCCACCGCACCCCAAAATAAAACCTTTGGAAGAGATGGGCACATCACACGCATGCTTGCTGATTCTCAGCTTCTTTATAACCAGAACATTGGTTCACAAAACTTAAAAGCTGCAGAAGCAAAGAGGGATGGTTTGGGAAACTTGATCATCAGATGTAAGAGAAAGAGCCTCATTTCACAAATGCAATTTCATTTTATTTGAATGTAATTCTAGTATTTGAAGACCACTTCGACTAGATAAGTTCTCCCTTCCCAAGTTGATTTTTCACATGATGCAATATGAATGGAAAGACTCTTTTCCATGATATTACTTTCTGCACGTATTGAAGAGTTCCCTTATTTCCTTTAACAAAGTATATAATACGTAATTTTAAAAAAACCTCAACACTTGCCTGGTGCATTATAGTTTGCAAAGCATTTTTCAATTCATTACTTCTTTTTGGTTACCCTATCAATCCCTGTGGGTGTTCAGGGGAAAGTAGTGTTATATCTAATTTAGAGGTGAGGAAATGAGCTCAGGGAGAGGGAAGAACTTGCTAGAGAACTCTTGTCTCCTGATTTCAACCTTCTAGTACTTATTCTAGTACCTCTTATGGACACATGTGCTGCTGTGCTGGATTGCCAGATGGTTATCTGTCCTTTCATCCTTTTTCTGAGCCCCCACTCTTCCTCCCCTCTGTCACGCCATTGCCTTACCTAAAGTCCTGCTTAGCCTGTAGGTCCAGGTCTACTCTTCCAGGTGTCTGCTGTATTGGGGCGTGTTTTCCTCTCTTCCTCCCAGCAGCCCACCTTGCTGCACCCCATTCTTTCAAGGATCTGCTAAGTGACTGGCTAATCTGATAGACAAATCACTTCAGGGTGTTAATATCTACAGATAACTTCATTTATTATCCTCTTTTGGAAAGTATTGACATTCTAATCAGAGTCTTTATGTATTATCTTCCCACAAAGAAAAGCATTCTAGACCAAACTGGGCTGGGGGTGGGGCGAGGTGCAATGTAGTAATGCCCAAAGAAGAAAAAGATTTGGGGGCATGAGAGGAGTGAGTTCAGTACATTACTCTCCACCTCAAAATAGATCGATACCATTCCTTAGTTAAATATAATCATTAGTAATAACATCACATTCTACCTTCTCAGAAGTTTCTTCATTATTACCATGGAAATTGAAGAAGAGACCAAAGGTCCAATGATTTGGCCAAGATTATTCCAGGAGTTTATTACTTACAGTCAGCCATGTGGCTTGATTACCCTCCATATGTACAACGTTTCTTGGATATCTAGAGAGTTTCGTAGACAGAGGGGCAGTCTCCATGGGGTGGAAAAACAGATTTCGCCTCTTTTTTTTTTAAGATTTTATTTATTCATGAGAGACAGAGAGAGAGAGAGAGAGAGAGAGAGAGAGAGGCAGAGACACAGGCAGAGGGAGAAGCAGGCTCCATGTAGGGAGCCCGACACGGGACTCGACCCCGGGTCTCCAGGATCACACCTTGGGCTGAAGGCGGCGCTAGACCACTGGGCCACCTGGGCTGCCCTAGATTTCACCTCTTGATGGAAGGAGCCACAAGTTATGTTAGCAAAGGTCAAGCAAAGAGGGATGAGAGAATTTTGTGGCCATTTTGTGTACTGTCTAGAGCCCCATGAGCAGAATTCTTATGCCTTGAAATTGAGCTTTGGCCATGAGAAGGGAATCAGTCAGTAGCACTTGTTCTCTGATGATACCTTAGATTATTGTCATCTCGGGCAGCCCGGGTGGCTCAGTGGTTTAGCACTGCCTTCAGCCCAGAGCCTGATCCTTTTCAAACCCCAGCAGCTCTACTACCACCTTCATCCAAGCAAAACCATTGAGTTGTCTCTCGGTCTGATCAGCATACCAGCCTCTTAACTATTCTCTTTGCTTCCATACTTTTCCTTCCTCACCTCTTCCACTTATTCTCAACATGGCAGTCAGATCATGTAATTTTGTATAAATCATATCATTCTTCCACTCAGAAGACTCCAGGGTTCCCCATGTCACTCTGAGCAAAAGTCAAAATTCTAATTGTGTAGACCAGCTGTGATCTAGCCCCGGCTTATGTGTCCTTCTTTCTCACTTTGTTCCCTGTGCTTTATCATGCTCTTTGCTTTCAATAGACACTCCCACCCTAGGATCGTTGGAATGTTCTTTCCTCTACTTGGCACACTTGCTCACAGATATTCATATATCTCCTTTCTTTCCCTCATTTTTTTTCCTTCAGTGCCTGCTCATTGTCACCGTCTCCATGAGGCTGTCCCCAATGTGCCTATGTCCCTCTACCCTGTTTTCCTTTTACTCATAGTACTTATTGTAATGTTTCTTATTTTTCTCACCCTCCCCTGGGATGTGTAGACTCCATGAGAACAGGGATGGTTTCTGTTTTGTCCCCAGCTGTATTGTCACTGCCTAGAACAGTGCCTGGCACATGATAAGCACACAATATATTTGTTGAATAGCTAACAAGCAGATGAAGGGCAAAATACCTTAACAAGTCATATGCGTACAAAGCACATTCCTATAAATCACTCCATAAAATACTGTATTAGATAGATGTTATTTTCAGCATGCTGTTGATGAATATACTGAGTCTCAGAGGTTAAAGAGTAGATAAACTGAGGCCTTCAGCTACTAAGTACTTCTCCATCCTGCCTCTGTATTTGTTCCTGTGCGTTCCTTGGTACATATTCCTATCCCGCTTTGAAGCCATCATCGTTGAACTAACTTAATCTTTACCAGGTCTCATTAAATATGAATATGCCCTAAGGCTGCCTGCGACACAGAGTTCTCAATACACATTCTCTATTCATTCCCAAACTTTTGCACAGACCACACCTTCTTCTCTCTTTTTTTTCAACCAGGTCAACAGTCAAGACTTCAAACACATCACACTCTGAAGGTGTTTCTGATCAGTTCTTTCTAGATACAGAGCCTCTCTCCTTGGAAGTGATGGTCCATATGCAGAAGCAAGAGACCTTCTTGCAGACTACCATATAAGACCAGCCTCAGCTTGCTTGAGAGTTTTAAAACCAATTAATTTGATTTTACTTTGATGTTCTAAGTTCCATCATAGTGCCACTTGTTTGTTTTTATAGAAAGGCGACTGCCATCTATAGTGCCTTATTCAGATACGTCCGGAGTGTTGAAAGCGTGACTACCCCATGTTCTCTGACAAACGGATCTTGAGAGCTTGTTTGTAGGTTCTAGCAGGGGAGCACAGCTACTCATATGCCCTTGACAAAGAATGGTCCTCCTTTATAAGATTGTCCTCTTCAAGTGCACAGCTTCGGGAGGGTTGCACATGGGGCAGTGAGGGAGGAAGGGGACACCTGCCTAGCCAGCCAGTTCAGCCAAATCTACCCTGGCAATCAGTGTGGTGAGAAATTCTAGTGCCACTTGTTTTTTAAACTCTGTGTTTAATAACGACAATTTTTGCCTTCAAAGTCAGTCAAATGTAATTTATTTTTTGACTCAATTAGTCAATCTCATTTTAAGCTCTAAACCTCTGTTTTTAGAATGAATTGTTTGCCAATACAGAAACAGACTAACCATTTACAGTGTACTAGCTTTTTTTTTAACTTTCTTTTTTTTTGTATATTTTTATATTGGAGTTCAGTTTGCCAACCTATAGCATAACACCCAGTGCTCATCCGTCAAGTGCCCCCCTCAGTGCCCGTCACCCAGTCACCCCATCCTCCCACCCACCTCCCCTTCCACTACCCCTTGTTCGTTTCCGAGAGTTAGGAGTCTCTCATGTTCTGTCTCCCTCTCTGATTTCTCTCTCTCATTTTCTCTCCTTTCCCTTTAATCCCTTTCACTATTTTTTATATTCCTCGTATGAGTGAAACCATATAATGTCTGTCCTTCTCCGATTGACTTACTTCACTCAGAATATTATCCTCCAGTTCCATTCACATTGAAGCAAATGGTGGGGATGTACTAGCTTTTAAATATCAATGTGTATGGCTTCATTTTTTTTAGGGCTTCTGTTTTTATTATTCATGAGAAGGTAGCATCAGAAGGGGCCCTAGAAGTCCTGATATAGGAATCTTTCATGGTCATCCCACTTTTTAATCTTCCATACAATGAAGTGTAAACTCTTTACCAAATAGTTTTTTGCATTAGGTGAACAGCTTTAGCACCAGAAAACTCTCTCTCTCTCTCTTATTTTTTTTAATGAGCTGCTCAACTTACTTTCTTATAATTTCTGGAATTGGACAGAATTTATTTTCTTTTCCACAGGCCTGCCTTCAAATATTTGAAGACCGATAAGTTCTGTGTCCAAGTCAGGCACCCCCTCGTCCTCCCATCTGTTTTTCCCCAGATTTTGTCCCCAGATTTTGTCCCCAGACCCTTCTCCATCTTGCTCCCCTCTGGGCATACACTCATTGAACAACTTTCTTTTGCAAAACGTGACACCCTGAACTGATTATAATGATCCAGATTTGTTCTGAACAGTGCAGAGGCACTGTTTCTCATTCTGTACATTGTACATCTGTTAATGCAGCCCACATTTGCACTTGCCTTGTTGGCAGCCACATCCCACTTTTGACTCATTCTGAAAGTACAGTCTGATGTACTTGCCTTTTTTTTATGGGTTACAAGTTTCTAGAGGGCGGGAACTGTAAGTCCAGACATCCATACGGCATGTAAGGTGTTCCCCCCAATCTGACCTCTCTCCAGCTTTTAACTTTGGTTCTCTCCACTCCTCTGCAAAAAGCATCACTCCAGACGAGTGGTCAGTTCACTGTCTTCCTCAAGGCTGCTCCATCTCCCACCAGGCATCAGAATTACCTACATTTTTTCCATAAAATTCAGATTTAGTTACATCTCTCTGTGGCTTGCAAACATCTGACCCCTCATAGAAAGGTCTTCACAGTGTGGTTCTAGCTCCCTTTCTAGACCCCAGCCTCATCTTCCTTCTCTTTCTCTCTCCCCAGTCCCACCAGGAATAATTGTCCCTCCTCTGGGAAAGAGCACATCACCAGCATGGCATTCATCATAGCCCCATTTAATGATACGTAGGAGTATGTGTTCCCTGCTTGACTATAAATGCCTTTTGGGTGCGGTTAGTGTTTCGTTCATCTTTGTGACTTAGCCTAGCATTAGGCCTGGCATAGAGTAGAGTTCAGTGAATGGTGGCTGAATGAAGGGGTGCATGGGTGGTCAGTGAATGGGTGTGTGTGCGCCCCCTGTTTCCCACCAAGACTCTAAGCCTTTGAGGGCAGGTCTCTAGGCTGTACCACATCCCAGCTGCATCCTAGGAGGCTTTCGGTAAATTCCGAGTCATGCATGGCTCCTCTAGCTCACTCCCTGCCTGCTCTGAGTGAGCATCCTTGGGGAGCACAGGTGAAGATGTACATACGTGTCCACGCGACTTTCAAGTTTGTCTTATGATTCTTGCTTCTTTGTCTCTTCTCCCTCCCTCTTATTCTCCAATGTTGCTCTCCTGGTACCTGCCTCCCCAATACCTCCTGTTCCTTCCCTGTCACCCGGCCTCTCTCCAGTCAGCGTCTGCTTCCCTGTGTGTGTGGAAGTGCCCTCGGAGACGGAGGCCGTTCAGGGCAACCCCATGAAGCTGCGCTGCATCTCCTGCATGAAGAGGGAGGAGGTGGAGGCCACCACCGTGGTGGAATGGTTCTACAGGCCCGAGGGCGGTAAAGATTTCCTTGTATGTCTGGCTGCTGACTCTGGCCTTTCTTTTTTCTTTTCTTTTCTTTTTTTTTTTTTTTTTCTGGCCTTTCTTTTACTTGCCTCTGCTGTTATGTGCCTGGCTCCTGAGAGTCTGGGGAATGAAGATCTGACAAATACTGGCTCTTTCTTTTCAAAGCACTGACAGCTCCCCAGCAGATAACTGACAGCCCAGCCTCTGTGAAAGGAAGGGCACTTGGCCAGCTGTGAGCGGTCCTGGTCATGAGCAGGGGAAGGGGGAGGAGAGATAAACAGCGCTTAGAGCCTACTGTGTGCTTGGCACCCGATAAGGCACTTCGCAGGTGTTTAATTTTCTGCACCATTGGATGGGATGGATTAAATTGGTAGAAAAATTGAAATGACAGCGTCATTAAATGGAATAGCGTAGGTTAGCTTGCTGAAATCTCACAATCTCAGGGCAATAAGAGTGACAGGAATGACCAAGCTGCTCTTCAACTGGCGTGCCCAGCACAGCATCCATGATGAGTGAAATATTTAAATAGTTCTATATTGGATATTTGCTTTGCCAAGCCTCCCAAGTGGTCTCACCGCCATCAGTCCCACCAGGAACCTGCGGATCTTCTCATGTTCTAGAAACTAAGAAATCACCCTAACAGAGCAAGGAGCCTCCAAGACTCCACCCTGTGCCGTGGCTAATGTCAATTCTGATTGGTTGGTGCCATGGCCAATGTGGTTGGTACATGCTTTGAATACCACCTTGGGGATGGCTGGACTCTGGAACCTCAATCCCTGGGTTTGAGTCTTGATTCCACCACTTATGAGCTCTGTGCCCTGGGACAGTCTGCTTCAGCTCTGTGCCTCAGTGTCCTCATCTCTAACATGGAGATGCAAACCATAGCAGCCTCAGAGAACTGTTACCTTCAAAGTTGTTAGCTTTAATTTTTAATGCATTTAGAAGAGCCCTGGAATATAGGAGGCACGATATAAGTGTTTGCTGGAGAAAAGGTGTAAGTACATAAGTGAGGCTACTGAGGCCCAAAGAAGTCAAGTTGATTAGAGAGCTTAGATTCGAACTAGGGGCACAAAGCTCTTTTTACTGCACTATGCCACCGTCCCAGAGGCAAGTTTCTTTCCTACAAAGACTTCTTGGAGACAACAGCAGGGTGAAGTTGAGTATATGCTCCAATCGGGTGCCAGAACTGGAACCAGTAGGCCCCCCTGAAACCTTGGGGTTCACTCAGAGTTGACTGTGACCGAGGCTAGTCCCCAGGTCACAGGCACCTGGATGTCTGGGCCAGAGGCAAAGGCCCCCAGTGGCCTCAGCCTGGTTGTGTGCTAGCCACCGACTGTTTCCAGGTCTGCCCAAAGTGAGTAGAAGTGGACTCAGACAGAAGAAAGGAAACTTCAGAAGGTAGTAGTGGCCGTACAAAGCAATGCTGTCTCCTAGGAATTTTTGTGAAAGTGGAAATGTTCCATATTCATGGTGTCCAGTACAGTAGCCACGAGCCACATGTGGCCACTGAGCCCTTGAAATGTGTCTTGTGAGTTTTACATTTTATTTAATTTCTAGTCATTTAATTTTTCATGTAAGTAGCCACACGTGCCAAGTGGAAACCAGAATGGACAGCACAGCTGTAGAGAATAAGACGGTGGCGGTGTCTGAGAAAAGAAGTTTTGAGACCGCATTTCAGTTATTATTCAGCCCAAAGTGAAAGACATGAGGTGTGCATATCACTTTGCAGCTCTCTGCTCGTCTGTGACACTTTGGCGGCCTGGGTCCCAGTCTGTCGCCCACCCAGACTGGCCACATCCCCTCAGTGAGAACCAGATCAGAGAGTCAAGTTCTGAGGCCGAGGCTTTCAAATGTCTTTGTGACTCAGGAAGCTGGCCTTCCTGGTCTCTATGCCCTGTTCTCTCACTGGTGCCCCGGTGACCCATCTTACTCTCTTGCTCTCTCTCTCTCTCCTTCCAATTTTTTCTTTCTCTCAGTTTCCCCCTCTTGGTCTCCTGTATGCTTCATTTACCTTTTTTAAAAATAATTTTTAAAAGATTGTATTTATTTATTTGAGAGAGAGAGAGAGAGCACGAGCGAGAGGAAAGGCAGAGGGAGAAGGAGAAGCAGATGACTCATTGCTGAGCAGGGAGCCTGATGTGGGGCTTGATCCCAGGACTCTGAGATCATGACCTGAGCTGAAGGCAGATGCTTAACCGACTGAGCCACCCAGGCGCCCCTTCACTCACCTTCTTTTGTTTTCTTTCTTTGCACCTCTTTTTTCCTGCCAGCCTCCTTCCTGCCTCCCCCTTTCTGCATCTTCCTTTGCTATGTCTGTGTATCCCAATACGTGTTTACCTTTGCTCACGTTTCCCTGCCTTTCTCTCTTGCCTGCCCTCCTCCGAACCTCCTCATCCTACACCCACGCTCGGGATCTCCTTGTAACACTGTCCCCTTTCTTCTCTGTCCATGCACAATTCTGCTCCTTTGCTCTGACCTGTCCCCATCCTGGCTCTCACGCCCTATTTTCTCTCCTGGCCCTACTCTCTTTTGCTTCTCTACCTGCAGATCTATGAGTATCGAAACGGCCAGCAGGAGGTGGAGAGCCCCTTCCAGGGACGCCTGCAGTGGAATGGGAGCAAGGACTTGCAGGATGTCTCCATCACTGTGCTCAACGTCACCCTGAATGACTCTGGCCTCTACACCTGCAACGTGTCCCGGGAGTTTGCTTTTGAAGCACATCGCCCCTTTGTGAAGACCACACGGCTGATTCCCCTCCGAGTCACCGAGGAGGGTGAGGTTGGGGCCATGAGTTCTCTGGGGTGCCTTGCTCTTGGGGAGGGAGGACGGTGGGTTTCCACACAAATGACACCCTTGCAGAGTGCAAAACCCACTTACCCGGAGCAGTGATATCTGAACATGTCACCGTTGTCTTGTCTTCCTTTAGCGGCCAGCTGAACTGCAAACTGCCTGACAGCTTGCCTCTCTGCACCTTTCCTCAAAGCAGAAAGGCTCAGAGATGACAGTAGAATGACCTCTTCCTTGATCCTCTGATTCTCATCCTTGGAGAAAGAGGACGGCCTTCATGAGGCCTAAAGCTGCCAAACCAGCTACACCTGCTTCTCTGGCAGGTGTTGATTCCCTGACTCGATGGGCACAGGGAATCTCATGAGGATATCTAGAGGCCGTCTAACCCTCTCGTGTGTAAGCCACACGTAGCCCTGAACCATCCGTGCTCAGACTCCAGCAAGCCTCTAAGTCCCCCGCGGGACTTTTTAAAATGCAGACTTTCTGATTCGGTAGATAGATAGAGCCTAGGAATTTGCACACCTAACGAATTGCCAGGAGATACCCATGCTGCTGGGGACCACACTTTGAGAACCACTGCTCTAAACCAGAGTTTGACCATCTTTTGTCTTCTGTCTCCCCCCACAGTAATCACACAAGCAACCCTCCTTCCCCATCCCCGGCATCTCTCATCACATAACCTCATTCTTGACTGGGAGAAAAAAAAAAAAAACACCTTTCTGGTCTTTAGTTTAAAATCTTCAGATTTCCCACAGCTAGTTTCTTGTTAGCAAGGTGGGCAGAGGGGACTTTTCCTTCTACTTCTTCTTTTCCTTCTACTGCCACCCCAACTCAGATGTTTCTGTTTTAGTCTGGTCTGGAATCTTGAGGGTGAAGTTTGAGTGTTCTCAAACACCATTCTCATTCTGCCTTCAAGGGACTCTGGGAGTTGCGGCTCCTAGCCCCTTGCTAACACTCCCTCACGTGTCAGAAGAGTGATATATGCACCTCCTTTTGTGTTTTCTCATCCAGGTTAAATGATGGTTCCCTTTTTCCTAGCCTGTTCTCAGGCGATCTATTTCTGGCATTATCACTGCCCCAAGATACAGGATGGTGAGCGGGCAAGAGGTGTGGGGCATGAAAGAAGAGGTCAAGATCAAGACAGGGCTCTTCCTAGGATTCCCAAGAACCCTGACTTCCAAGTCACGAGTCTGATTTTTTTTTCTCATGTTATTGTGATAGAATTCATGAAGCACACTTGAGAGCAGATGGCAGGGCAAGAGATGTCATGATTTGGTCCTGATGAGGACAACATGACTAAAACGAGTAGGTCAATTCTGAACGAGCAGAAGCACCCTTGGACCACTGGCATTTAGGCCTGATGAGCTGTCTTCCCCCTCTGAGCGCATCTCCTCTTGTGTACCTGGAATGGGTTGGACTGGAAGCTCTCTAAGGTATTTTTCTGTTCAGAAGTTCATTATCCTCTCTGTTTACACACCTCTTCTCCCTGGGGAAGAGAAGCCGGCGCCCTCTACTGCTCACCGCCGGGAACTTGGCTGTGCCTGCTGGACCCTGGGAAAGTGCCTGTCTCACCTGCTGCTCTCTCAGGCTTTTGCCTCCAGTGGAAAGGGTGGCGAAGCTGAACCAGCCCACCTGCTGGGCACCAGAGCAAGGCCTGGGCCAGAATAGAAGGAAAACAAGTCTGTCATCAGAACCACAGAGCCTCTCGGGATGGTAGGGCTGGAGGGAAGCTTGGCTCTCATTTCATCCAGGTGTTCTGAACAAAGAGCAGGAGTCAGAATTGCTTTCCTTCAGTGTAGACATCTCCATACACTCCTGTGGGTATGTATGAGTTCGGCAGTTGGAGTGAGGTCTGGCTTATGTCATAGAAATGACTCCCCAGGTGATTGCTTGGAGGGTGCGGCTCTGGTGCCTCTCATTTTGTGGTGGGGAGATCAGTGAGGGGCTTGCCTAGGGACATGAAGCGAATTAGCACCAGGTGCAGGACTACAAGCCAGATCTTTCGCCCACCAGGCTACCTCTCTGTCCGTTGACTCTTTTCCTTCTACGACCATCCCACTCCTTGCTACTCTTTTTTTCTTCTCCTTCGTTTCATGACTTTTTTCCTTCCTTCCTTCCTTCCTTCCTTCCTTCCTTCCTTCCTTCCTTCCTTCCTTTCCTTCCTTTCCTTTTCCTCCGCGACCCCATGGCAGCCTGAGAACACCCCCACCCACATTCACTGCTCTCATAAGGCTCAGAGCCACACGCTCCACCTTGACACACCCCACCACATTTCCTCCATTCCTATGTTCTCCCAGAATCTCTCTGATTCTCTTTGTTCAAGCTGAACTTATTCTGCCCTAAGCTCTGACCTCCTGGTTCTAAGACAAAAATCTGAGATCTCTTTACCTAGAAGTGACTAAAAATACTGAGCATAGATGGCTTCTTCCTATGTTACTACTTCCAGGCTATTGCATTTAAAAAGCATGTTCCTTGAGATGAATGTATCACAAATCAGGTAGTGTCGAGCCCACAAAAAGGCATTTGATGTGCATGGTGTTCTTCTGTGCCTCAAGCTCCATCTATGACCTCTAGCCTCAGGAGGTCCAGCATCCAGGAAACGTGGGTGATCCTGGAGTCTTTGGACTGCTTCTCAGAGCTGAGGGTCATGGTAGGAGCTATTCTGTGCTTTTAATGAGCGAGGCCTTATGGATGACCGGGGCCTATGAATAACCAAGGAGCATGAATCTAATTCACTGGTAGGAGTTAGCAACAGAATATGTGGCTGCAATCTTCTTTCCCACGAGAAAGGAAGATGTATCAGGACAATTTGCCATATATCATGTTTTAATTGTCATTTTGGTTGGCCGTGAAACAAAGATCGATATTTATTTATATTCATTCATTCAACAAATACTTATTGAGTACTTCAGACACTCCGGGATGAAACGACAGGTGGATAATTCAGAAATATGTAAAACGTGTTCTTAATAAGCAAACAGTCACTAGAGAAGAGAGAGAAACACATCACACACAATAACAATGGACAGATGAGAAAAGTGCTCAGAGGAGAGGCTGAGGCAGGTTTCACAGAGCGGGGGACTTTGGTGGCACTGGGAAGAATGGTCAGGGGATGGGAAAGCAGGAGAGGATATGGGGACAGAGGTAGCAGAGGGAGTCCAGTCACAGAAGGGGAAATAAGGAAGGGGAAAGAGGGTGAAGAAAAGTCCACAGATCCCCAAAGACCACAGTGTATATGAGAAGTGACGTTTTTCTGGTGCATCGAGCAGAAATGAGGAGAAAAGAGCCGGCCTGTGAATGGTCCTACATGCCCTGTTAACAGAGTTTGGTCTTTCTCCTGAGGGCAGCATGGAACACGGAGGGTTTTAAGCATGAAAATGCCAGGATCAGGTTTGTGTTTCAGAAAGTCTGCTTAATACATGGAATGCTCCAATTCTCATTTCTGTTTGGTTTTGGGATGACCTGGCAGAAAGGTGGGCTGGGAAGGACCCTGTTTCCCATCCAGACCTGGAGAGAGCACGCCCAGACCACGGACAGGCTGACTGTACTGGCCCCACACACGTGTCCCACCCTCTCTCCCTCTGCCACCCTAAGCTCAGAGGACACAGGTGGTTGGACGGGATATGCTCCCCACATCTGTGTGACCTTCACATCTCACAAGATATTCTTGAACACGCCAGGTAATGCAATGGTGTGAACGGTTTTACCCTTGCCTTACATTTTAGGCAAATGGTCTCAAATAGGGGCAATGATGATTCACACAAAATAGGGACGCAGCTCTTATATCTCAGGCCGTTCCAAGATTCCTTCCACTGCTCTATTATTTCTTCCACTCCTCATTCCTCCTCAACCCCCACCCCAGAAGAAAGTTGGTGAGAAAGCTGACAGACAGGAGCATCAGAGGATATTAAATCACTCTGAAGCCTTCTTGAGTTCCTTAGACCCAGTGCTTATTTAAGCCATACTTAAAAATAGGTCTCATATATCTCTGACCCAGTGACAGCTCTGGGTTTGTTGGACATGCACATTCTAAGCCTCACTGTCCCCCTTGCAGCTGGAGAGGACTTCACCTCTGTGGTCTCAGAGATCATGATGTACATCCTGCTGGTCTTCCTCACCTTGTGGCTGCTCATTGAGATGATATATTGCTACAGGAAGGTCTCAAAGGCCGAAGAGGCGGCCCAAGAAAATGCGTAAGTTCTAAGATGCCAACATAATGCTAGCTGGCCCCTTCGAGTGCTTGCTGTCACGGGTGAGGTGCTAAGCAATTGACACAGTCCTCCACTCTCCTCACCACAATCTTCAAGGGAGGCTGAATTAATATACCCACAGATGAGAAAACTGAGCCCGGGAGAGTTTGCCCAAGGCCATTGTAAGAGGCAAAGCAAGGTTTTGATTTGTGTCTGCTAACTCCTAACCGGTACTGTTAACCTCTGATGTAAAAGCCCATAAGCTAAAAGCAAAACAAAACAAAAAATCATAAGCTGCCATCACAATCCTATGAAGTTAGCATTATTATGACCATCTAATAGATGCTAACGCAGGCCTATGGAGGTTAAGTGGCTTGCTGAGGCCACAGATACTGAGAGGAGAGGCTGGGATTTAGGCCCATCTATTCCAAACATTCATGTTTTTGTGTCACTCTCAGCCATTTGTTGTACACTGTGGAACTCACCAGGCCATCTGGGCACTGCCTTTTACTAGCTACGGAGCTCCGAGCCACATGTTCTTCATCCTGGACCTTGGCAGCAATCGAATACCCAGAGTAGGGGCTCTCATTCCCCAATGTCCAGAGTGTGCCTTTGCCATTTTCACCAAGGCCCTGGTCACTCAGGAGTGAGCACATCTAAGCAATGGTGGGGTGTGAGGGTTGAAGAGGCCGCTGTGGCCTGTTGTTCAGGGAGAAGAAAAACAGAACTCCTAGATTTAAAAGGCTAGCAACATCGCTGAAGCGGTATCCTAAAAACCGTAGGCTTTTATCACTTAAAAATGTTTGATAGGGATCCCTGGGTGGCGCAGCGCTTTGGCGCCTGCCTTTGGCCCAGGGCGCGATCCTGGAGACCCGGGATCAAATCCCACATCGGGCTTCCGGTGCATGAAGCCTGCTTCTCCCTCTGCCTGTGTCTCTGCCTCTCTCTCTCTCTCTGCGACTATCATAAATTTAAAAAAAAAAAAAAAGAAAAGTAAAAATGTTTGATAAAGAAAGTGTTTTGTATGATATCTATCTATGATCTCAGAAAAGTACAAATTACAACTGATATGAGGATAGAAAATAATGTGCTGGAGAGGCTGTCATTCCTGATGAAACCTGGGTGCTTGGATTTTAGTGCTTGGACAGAAAGTGCCTACAACTCGGCAAGCACAAAAGACAGAGCTGGAACCGAGGCCCCCAGCAGAGCCAGGATCCCCCAAGGGCTACAACATATGCAAAGGACAGACCAGAAAATCCGTCCACCAACCTGGGGGAAAACCCAAGGAGACTTACCTATCTTGGCCCGACTCCCAGATAGAAACATAAAAGATTCTTGAGAATGAGTAACCACAAGCCTGCACTCACAATGTTCGGGATTTAAATTTACACTACCTACAGGATCCAGAAGTCTCTAAGCTGAAAAATTCAATTAAAAAATTAGTCCCCAGACAGTGATAACCATGTAGAAGCAAATGAAAACCCGTTCTGAAGGGACCGTCTCTCAGCTGAGGCTTACCAGGATTCCCCACACTCAGCGCTGCTGAGTCTGATTTCAGTCTGATCCAGAGCTACAAGCTGCAGCAGGACGTGAGCCAGCACAAGCAAGAGAAGAAACAAATGGCAGGATTCAATCCCAGGAACTTCAGACCCTTGGTAGAATTTAGAAAACGAGTTGGTCTGAAAGAGTTAAAGCAATACAAGGATGAACCAGGAGCATAAGAATAGAATAAGTTGCTAAGGAAAACCAACAGGCAGATTTTTAAATAGGAATTTAAGAAATCTGGACGTGAAACAGGTAGTCAATAAATTTTAAAACCCTGTGGAAGGGTTCAGCAGATCAGATGCGAACGAGCAGGACGTCAACGTAAGGAAGTCAAACAGAATGAAGCGCAGAGATCTAAACAGATGGACTAGTGCAATGAAACATGAAGAAGGAAATGGAGAGTGTCCATCAGAATAGGACAGACGAAATGGAGGAGAAACAATATCCAGAGATACAGTGGCTGAGAAAAAGCACTTCTCCTCCGATCCAGGAAGCACGACGTGTCCTGAGCAGGATACATACTAAATCAAAACACCAGTCATCTCTGAACTGCTGAAGGGCAGCTACTCAGGTAACCTCCAGCAAACACCGGCTGGGTTGGAACTGCCAATAATTTAGAAACATGTTTCGCTTCTATTCAATATTAAATTGCAGAACCTAGGTAGTGTACTCAGTAAATACAAAGTTAAAAAAAGAGTGAAAACTGTAAGGGAAGACACCCAAGTATCCTGATTCACACCCAGCATAATTTATCTATCGTTGGTTATCTATCATCTCCTCTGAAGCTTCCCGGGTGTTATGGGAGGACAAAGATCGACCAAAGGAAGAGGCCGGCCACTCCGGATTGGTAGGTGGAGGGTTGAATAAGTCAGGGAAGTTACTTACAAAGCTCTTTTTTTTTTTTAATTTTGTTTATTGATTCATGAGATACACAGAGAGAGGCAGAGACCCAGGCAGAGAGAGAAGCAGGCTCCCTGCGGGGAGCCCGATATGGGACTGGATCCCAGGATTCTGGGATCATGCACTGGGCCAAAGGCAAACGCTCAACCACTGAGCCACCCAGGCGACCCTTACCAGGCTTTTCTTGAGCAGCCACAAGACAAGCCTGCTAGAATCGTAAAGGTTTGTGTAGAGGCCTTAACTAGGTTCAGACAGGATATTGTTCAGATAAGTCTCAACCTCACATCACGGTCTTAAGGCTGGGTCTCTGGGGCAGCTTTTGGGAGGGAAGGCAAGCAGAGGCACACTCCAAGGAAAGCAGGGTGGGGAGCCCCTGGCTGCAGGGGTCCAGCTCATAGGTCACCCAGCAACCACGTCCTCTCCATGACCTCCTCCACCGACATCGGAAGTCCAAGGCCATCTATGGACAAACCCTTAGAGCTAATGAGAACATTCCACAAGATTGTAGATGCAAATCAAAACGTAAACCTATAAAAACCACCTCTAGCCCAGCCACAAACATTTAGAGAAACATCGAGATATCTAAAACATTTGAAAAAATTTCCATTACAGTAGCAACAAATACTCTCCAGTACCTGGGAATAATACATTTGATAAAAATGTGCAAGACCTTTAAGGAGACAGTTACGACACTTTACTGAAAGACTTAAGACCTAAATAAATGGAAGAATAAAACCTATTGATGCAAAACAGGACAGTTCTCTCTGAAATTAATCTGTAAATTCAATGACATTTCAATCAAAATACCTACTGGATTGTTCAAGGAGCTCAATTAGTGGATCTTAAAAGTCAAGTGGAAGACCAAAGGGCCAAAACCAATCCAAACCAAGTGATGGCCAGACAGTGAATATTTTCTGCACAGGGTCTCTTTGGTTTTGCTTCTTGGTTTGCAGTCCTTCCAACCTTTCTTAGCTCATGAGCCATAGTTTGCCCATATCAAAGAAAGAACAATATTAGGGAAGATGGCTGGTAGAGCTTTTCCTATCAGATATGAAGATTTCTTACAGAGCTATTAAAGAACTTGATATTGACATAAGCATACAGCACGGACAACGAGAACAAAACCGAGAGCCTCCCAAATAGATCAATACATATATTCAATTTTCTGTAACTAATATATGACAGAAGCAGCCCCACAATTACAGAAGGAAAAATGAACTTTCTAATAAGTGGTATAAGGACAATGCCTTATCCATACGGTGAAGAAAATAAGAGCCCCCATCTCTCACACTAAACAAAGATAAATTCTAAGTGGATTTAAAGACAAGGTAAAATATGCAACTTGAAAATTCGATGAAAGGAAAATATAAGGGATCCCTGGGTGGCGCAGCAGTTTGGCGCCTGCCTTTGGCCCAGGGCGTGATCCTGGAGATCCAGGATCAAATCCCACATCGGGCTCCTGGTGCATAGAGCCTGCTTCTCCCTCTGCCTGTGTCTCTGCCTCTCTCTCTCTCTCTCTCTCTTTCTCTCTCTCTCTGACTATCATAAATAAATAAAAATTTAAAAAAAAACCTTTCCTTAAAAAAAAAAAAAAAAAGAAAGAAAGGAAAATATAAGACACTATTGTCATTACCTGAGGATAGAGCGGATTTCTTCAAATACCAGAGGCACAGAGTGGGAAGACGGATAATTTTCACAACACTATGTGTGAAGACCAATTGTTCATGACATGAATCCATAAGCAAAGTTTAGAGACAAACAAGAGACTGGGAGGAGATATTTTCAAGACGTGAAACCATCCAAGAAAAATCCTGGGTGGCTCAGTCAGATCAGCGGCCAGCTCTTGATTTTGGCTTGGGTCATGATCTCAGGGTCCTGGGATCGAGCCTTGTGTTGATCGAGCTCCATGCTCAGTAGGGAGACTGCTTCAGGATTCTCTCTCTTCCTCCGCCTCTCCCTCTCTAAAATGAATGAATAAATCTTTAAAAAAGAAAAAAAAAGAAGGAAAGAAAGTAGAAAGATCCCTGAGAAAAAGACATAGGTCAACAAGCAAAGAACAAATTACAGAAGCAGAAACCTATGCCACCTAAAAACTTATGAAAAGACGTACACCATCAGCAATAATCAGGAAAATGGATATGAAAGCAACTCTAAAATATCATTTCACACCCATTGGTGTGGCGCGACATTTTCACTGAACAACAGGGGGTCCTTAGATCCGTGTAGATAAATAGGAAGATTCATGCATTGCTAGTGGAAGGAAAAAAGAGAAACAACGCCTAGTCTTCTAGTCCCCGCTGCAAGGGCCACTCTGGTTTTCTCTTGGGAGCCAGAGGCAGAAGGAAATGCAGAGCTCTTCTGCAGACATCCTGGTTTCTGCGCTCCTTCCCTTTCCTTGGGTTCCCACCCCTGGGGACAAAAGTACTTATGTCCTTCCCTGTCTGTCCTCCTCCAGGTCTGACTATCTTGCCATCCCGTCAGAGAACAAAGAGAGCTCCGCGGTCCCCGTGGAGGAGTAAGAAGGGCGGGCCTGAGGTGATGTACCAGGAAGGGCAGGGAAGTGGCATCAGGATGGCTGCTTGTCAAAGTGGCTCTGTCCACCCACATCCAAGTGACTTTCAATCTGACCCCTTAGACTTCTACCCTACCCAGAGTCCCCACCCTCAGGGTATTTCTTTTCTTCAGTGATGCCCAGGTCAGGCCCTTCAGCTCTACGTCAAGCCCTTCAGAAGGTGAATTGCTTTGGCCTGAGGGTTGGAGCAACTTGGACTTCTTACCACAGCGACAAAAAGTCATCCCCCCACTCCCTCCTTGTAAGGACTGTGGATTTGGTGAGAGTCTTTGGCTGGGCTGGACGGGGCCAGGCCGGAAATTCTGAGTGAGTTGTTTTATCATTGGTAGGTGGTCTGGACACTGAAGGACTGGATATCCCAGGTTCAGTGCTGTCAACAGCACCAGGAGGGTGCCCCACGGGCCACATCGCTTCCCTTCTTGCCTCCCTCCTTCTATTCACTCATCATGCATCCGCTCACCTCTGAGCTTTCACCTCTGACTTCCTGACTCCATCAGACCTCTACACACCAGAAGACTTTGCCAGAACTGAGGAGCTTACATTTCTACACCGACTCAAGCTCGCCCTGTCCCAGCTTTCAAGCAAGGAGCTCCCATGCCAACTGGCCTTCTTCCCTGCGATCTGAATGACTTTGTACAAATGTTGGAGATGGCACATCCCTTTGTCCCTGACTGGCTGGAACTGGCTCATTCTTCACTGCTGCAAGTGAATGGATGTCTTAATGGAAGGAAGCAGGAATGAATAATTCGGGTTAAAATAAGAGTGTTGTGGTGTGGGATTCCTTGAAGTCAGTTTTTTCACATTCCTGGCCCACTTACTAGAGCATCAGAGCAAAGCATGCCTTTCTAGATTCTTCGGTGATAGAAAGTTTACTAAGCATGGACCACAATGTTCTCGGAACTTGGTATTCTAGGGCTAGATCCCAATAGGTCTCTCGAAGGCCTATGTTGGGCTCAGTCCTTCAAGAAGCCAAAGACAGAAGTGGCTCTTAAAAGTCATACAACGTGTTCCTAACCCTCTTAGGGTAATGTGCATTGGAACAGAAATTCCTACATTCTTCCTCTCAGAATTCCTGTAGATCAGTATTATTCCTCATTTTATAGGAGACAACTGGGCCTCAGACTGAGCTCAACTAAAGAGACTTCAGAGGATAAACTGAAGCATAGTAAGCCTGAGGTTGCTGCCCAGTTGAGACTTTCGGAGATGGGATCCTTTCGTTTTTAAAAAGATCTTGAAACTGGGCTTGGCCACGGCCATGCCTCTCTCACAAGCACAGGGGTGGAGTGCCCGGCTGAGGTTAACTGATGGATCCAGGTAACCGGAAGCTGGCCGAAAGGCACAGAGCAGGACATGGGGTACACTGGAAGAATTTCCTTAGGGAAAAGATTTGTGAACATGAAAAATCCTCCAGCAGGAGGTTGCATCTGGGAATATTTAAACTAAGAAATGTGCTTTTTAGTCTCAGATGGATGATGTGTGAATGAGTGAAGTGACAAGAAGGACAGATTCGGTGGCTTCCAAACATTTCACCCGTGAATCCATGATGTCTAGTTGTTGGGGGTATTTTTTTTTTTTTGTGGATTTGGGGAGAGCAGAGGCACGCTGAAAAAATTTTACCATCTCGTGTCATTTTAATTGAGTGACTGGTCCAAGGGTGATGTCCTTGAGCACCTAGGGAGGAGGAAGGGGGAGCCTGCTTTATGGGATATGAGAGCTTGTAAGTGGTGGGGCTCAGCGAGTGAGAGGTCCCTCAGACCTGGGGGGACTTATGGGGAAAGATCACACTCCGCTGGCGCTGGGCCTCACCCGACACTTTTTTTTTTTTCCCAACTCTTCCATCCTTAGGGGGAGTAATTGAAACAAGTCCTTGTTCACATCTACAAAGTCCAATTTTATTGAAGAAAATACTTGCAGTAAACTCAAGGCCTTTCTCAGCGGTGATTTTCCACACACTTCCTCTGACATAGGGGACAGAATATGGATCATTTTTCATGCTTTGCAGTTAGGAAGATGGGCGCAGATTGGTGTGAGGTCTCCCAGCCCCATGGCTGCGGGTGGCCGAGCTTATGGCAGCAGCTACTTACTACCAGCCTACCGTCCTCTTGCTTCTAGTAGATGATACATCTCACTCCGAATCAAGCCGTATGCATGATGGCAGCCTTTTTTTCTTTTTAAAAAGCCCAACCCAGGTATTTCCTAAGTGGTTTTTAATGAGCTCAATGGCACCTATCATCCTCCCCCCCGCCCCCGCCCTGGCCATTTATCTTTTACAAGGTATCTTCCCTCTTCTTTTCTTTTTCTTAACTTCTCCACCCTTCCCATCCTCAACTGTCATTAGAGCGATTTGGCTTACACAGTGCTTTCGTCTCTGCTACCTTAGTTCTCCTCAGCAGGCCCTGTGACGTGGGTATTAACTGATACCCAAGTAACAGATGAGCACACTGAGGCTGCCTGAGGCCGAGCAGCTTTACATCCTACCTTCCTACAGCTGGTTAAGTGGAGAGCTGTCTCACCTTCGCCTGTCTTGCATGTCCCGAGGTGTTGGACGTCTCTCACCCCAACCCCACTCGGCGGCTCCTCTGCCACTTTGCTTCTAGCAGCTGCTTGCAAGTGTGCTTTGAGGGTCTGTCTAGTTTTGGTTTTCTCCTTCTGGTTGGTTTGCACATCGCTCTTTCTCCTGAATTGCAACTCAACTCCTTCCTGGGAGACTTGATCAGGACTACAAAACTAAGGGTACTGTGATCCCCAACCTGCTCCAGATCCTCCCCACTCTCCATTTCTCCCCATATTCCTCAAGGACCCAGACCAAATGTGCATTGCTCTAGAAAATTCATCTGGCATGTTGTTCTTATTAAAGGGCTTAGAAATGTTCTCAAGGGCTACTATTAATTTAGGAACCCCATCTGTTGTCTTGGTGCTGGATATTTCCCATGACTGATCCCTAAATAACACTAAAGGCCAAGCAAGGCTGGGTCTGAATTTTCTTTTCCTACTGCTTAACAGCCAAGAACTTGATTGCTCAACTCAATTGGCGCTGTAGACACCCTGCCCTCCTGACCTTTACTGCCAGCTGAAGTCTTAGAGCACAAGCCCGACTCCTGCATGCTAATACCATTGACAGAGCCTGTCCCTACCCCAACCTTTATTTTCTATCTGTTTAAAGTCTTGATCCTTTACTTTCTCTGTCCCCCAACACCCCCACACCCAGATTTCTGATTCTCTGAGTTTCTGCTTTCTCTGTCTATGCCCAACTAGACAGGTTAGTAGGAAAGGACTTTTTCAAAGCAGGAATATGCTGAAGACACATGTACAGCAGTGAATGGTTGAGATAGTAGCCTCCTCCTCTCCCCACAAAACTACTAGATCAAAAAAGGAAAGCACACCCAACTCAGAATCTGTGAACCTACCTGACATCAGAGGGGAGAGGCTGTATAATTGGCATCTTTGCAGGAAGACTCAAGAGCCAGACACATTTCGGAGCAGATCTTGGTTCCCTTTCCCCCAGTTAACACAGAAGTGGAAAAATACACCAAAAAAAGCTTTCCTCTTCCCTCCTTTTGTAAATGAAATTCCCCAACCCAGTGAATTCACCTAGTCTCCGTGAGTGTATCTGAGTAGTACTGGTGTGTTCATCCTCCGATGTTCATCCATTCTGCATTTCAACATGCACTCTGTCTCGAGTACCAATCTGGAGCCTCAGTGTACCCCATGGCCTTAGGTCTGCGAAATACCACCATCCAAGGTCTTCCTAATCTCTGAAACTCCACTGTGGTAGGTAACTGGTGTTGAACTATCTTGAGTTTGTAGTAGGACCCAGTAGATAAGCACATGAAGCAAGTCTGAGTTGTGGTAGGTCAGACTTAAGCCCTACTATAGACCAGCTAAGCCCCAAATCTGGTAATAACCCCCTTTTCCCCTGAATCACCATCTGGCAAGAGCTGCATCTGATGGCAGTGTGTGTGATGGGGGGTGGCGGTGGGGCTGCGGAAGCACGAGTGCTTGCAGATTTGAGAAACACCATCAAACACAATTAGCAAACTCTTGCACCTGATGGATCTCTTTGCCCCATTGTCACCTTCATACTGCTTGTTCTCGGTTTCCCCCAGCCAACCTTTTCCTGAACTCTAGAAATGTTGTTCCCGATCACCCAAGCTCTCCACAACCTAATGCCAGTATGTAGTGTTTTCCAGGAAATACCCTGTTTGTGTCAATAAAGTGTCTCTAAATGCAGCTTGCTCTGGTTTGGCTCTGCTGTGTGTACCTGCTATGCATACTATGGCTCCTACCTCCCTCCCCAGTCTGCATCAATTCCTGAACTCACCATCGATGGATATTTTCCCAGAGAACGAAAAATGCAGTTAATAGTCTAGAATTAAAAAATATGTGTGATATAGGCTTCCTTCTCTTCCTTCCCTCCCCAAATACAAAGGAACACAAGAGTCACCTTTCTTTCCTCCTGCCTGACACTAAGTAGTTTCCCACCAGGTGGTGAGGAGATAACTCTAAGGAAGACCTAACAAGGGGAGAGGCCAGACCCCCGACCAGTCTAGGCTAACAAGGAAGGCAACGCTGTTTCTCAATGTCCACATTCCTGGAAGCGCCAAGGCACAAAAGGGAAAAGTTAAGAAACTATCCTTGGGATTCACAGCATATGATAATATACTCCTATAATAATAGTACAGGTTGGGGTGCCTGGGTGGTGCAGTCGGTTAAGCATCCGACTCTTGGTTTTGGCTCAGGTTGTGATCTCAGGGTCAGGAGATAGAGCCCCAAGTCGGGCTCCACACTCAGCATGGAATCTGCTTGAGATTCTCCCTCTGCCCCTCCTGCTCTAAATACATAAATCTTTATTATTTTAATAATAAATTTACTTTTTATTGGTGTTCAATTTGCCAACATACAAAATAACACCCAGTGCTCATCCCATCAAGTGCCCCCCTCAGTGCCCGTCACCCATTCACCCCCACCCCCCGCCCTACTCCCCTTCCACCACCCCTAGTTTGTTTCCCAGAGTTAGGAGTCTTCACGTTCTGTCTCCCTTTCTGATATTTCCTACCCATTTCTTCTCCCTTCCCTTCTATTCCCTTTCACTATTATTTATATTCCCCAAATGAATGAGACCATATGTTTGTCCTTCTCCGATTGACTTATTTCATTCAGCATAATACCCTCCAGTTCATAAATCTTTAAAAACACACACATCTGACTTTATCAGGCTGCCTTCCTTCCCAGGAAAAGGCGTCCTATATGTTGAGCAGATGGCTGTGCATATGTGTATGAGCATGCCTACACACACACACACACCTCTTGGGCCTTGCCCTCACCATATCCGGGAGAACCAAAAACATTTGGGATGATGAGCACTATGAATCGAGCAATAAACACGCACACACCATTTATTATTTGTAGTTCAATACTTTTTTCTTTTAATTCATACTGTACTTCCATGGCTCTAGCTACTTTACATTAAGATTTGGCTGGGAAGCCGTTTATGGTTCTAGGTAATAGCAGTTAAGTTTTCAGACCTTGCGCACAGCGCCAGGCAAAGTACAGTTATAGATCCAAATACACGTGGCCAGACAACTCGACTGCAATCAACCTGTGTTCTTTCCCATATATGGCCCAGTGCAGGTGTTGGGGGCTGCTCCCTCTGCCTTGCCCCACTCCACCCCTTGTTAGGATTACCCAGGGGCCACTAGGGCCTCTGACCCATCTCTCCCCACCTTGGAGTCTAGGTTGAGTGTGGGGGGGAAAAGCACCATGGGTTTGGGAAGATGATCTGGTCCATGCAGAGAGTGGTCTGGCCCTAGAGTGCAGGATAGGGAAATGTGGGGAGCCACACTACTATTGGCAAAAAATGGTTGCTTTTGTTACGCCTTCTCAGCACATGGCACCCAAGCCCAGGGCCAACTCCCCAGACAGAGCCAGCTGTCTTGCCTGGAGCAGAGGCCACCATTTTGCTTCTGCAGTGTCTCACTGTGTTGAGAGAAGCAAGGGGACCAAGGGGCAGAGATGACAGTATGCTTTTCGCTTTCACATGTCGGGTAGATCGTCTGGCATCAGCTCCTCTTGGCAGGCAAGATGCTTCTCGCCAGCAGCCAAGGCTCCAATCCAGGCTCCCAGGCCTGCTGAGGACCTCAGGTCACAACAGAAAACAATGCCCAAGACCCCTGAGCTGTCGCACAGACCACCAAGACAGGGAGCTGGCTGGGCCCGTCACAGCCATGGCTGGAGCAGGAGTGAGGTAACAAGGCTGGGCCGAGAGGTGGGAAGGGGCGCTCTCTACACCTTGTGCAAATTCCCATTCCACATTAGGGAAGCAGGGGCGTTAAGAGACGGCCTTCCAGAAAAACGCTCCACTCGGACCCAAAACGCATCTTCTGGAAGAAAACATAGAGGTGGAGGAAGTGGGGCCAGCCTGCTGGAGGTTGGGGGGTGAGGATAAGGATGTCAAGTGGTGGATGGGATGATTGTCCCACAGCCTAGAGACAAGGGGTGGGGGAGGAGAGTCAGGAAGACAGGTTCTCAAGTTTGCTACTGGAGTGGGCAGGTGGGGTCCGGGGGTGTGGGGAGGGAGATCACAGCCCTGCCACCCGGGGGCCCTAGGGAGGAAGGACTGGCTTTGGCTGCCCTGCAGAGCTAAAGCAGCAGCATAGTATGGCTACAGAAAGCATCCTTCTGAGACCACAAACAGTCCAGAAAGATTCTTCCCTTAATCCTTTCTCCAAAATTACACCCTAGAAATGCTGCCCGAAAACGATTTAGACATGGTCCAAGCTTGGATCAGGGACAGGAACACGGAGAGAAGCCACTTCTAGCCAAGCAAGCATCCCTCCTGAGGTTTCTTGATCCCTCTCTCCCCACTCCTATTATCCCAGGTTCTTAGGGTCAGTGCTCTAAGGCAACCCAAGGATTTTAGACAAAGCTTCACAATTAATCCAAACCCCAATAGGGTTTGGACTGAGCCAGAAGAGAAGTGCTATGGCCAGGAATGACTTCTCTCCAGTGTTTCTTCTAGTGAGGAGCAAGGATGGACACATGAAAGGCTTCACTGCCTAGAGACAAAAGATGAACTTCATCCAAGATGGTGCCCTTCTTGCCATCATCTTCCTCCTAGTTTAGAGAATGTCCCTTCCCAAACTAAGACTAGGCCAACAAAGGAAGAAACACCTTCCCACGTTAATACTGGGGAATACAACAAAGTTGATCTCCCTCTCTCTACCACACTAGGCCTCCCTAGTCCTGCTGGCCCATAAAGAAGAAAACTTAACTACCCTGGATTTCCTGGGAACCCTGCTGCTGCCCTGCTACTCATCTAAATGCTTAGATTACCCTCCAAGTTTGAGAAGGCTCTATCCTGCCAGTCTCTGACCCAGACTCCGAGACAACGCCCGCGCTAGAATGTAGCTTAGAGATGGTCTAGCCTAACCCCCTTCCTGTTACAAATGAGGATACTGCAGTTCAGGGAGGGCAAGTGGCTTGTCCATGAGCAGAGCCAGGACTCATGCCCAGGTCTCCTAACCCAGCCCTGTGCTCTAACGGAGAGCTTTAAGTCGCTGATCTTGCTGCTCTTGTCCCAGGGAGGTGAGTGGGGGAGAGAGGAGTTGGAGACATGAGTAGGTGCTCCAAGGCCAATCCTGTTAATTCCTTCAAGTACGGTGGAGTGAAGTAGAGACCCCACAGCTCTTCTCCGCCTGGTTAGAGACTCTGCAAAATCTCTTGAGTGCAAGCTCTCAAATGGGACCACAGGAATCCTCAAAGAATGATTCCCACGTGACCAGTTCTCACATGAACAAAAATAAAGCGCTGTCTGGAAGAAAGAGCATAAAGGGTGGTAGTTTTAATGCTCCCAGGCACAAGTCAAGTTGCCGGGCTTGAGCTGCAATATTATTTATCAGTTTTACTCCCAGACTTCTCTGCAAGGGTGAGTTTCCTTGGAAAAGTTATTGAATCAGGGGGGAAAGCTTTTGTTTGAGAGTGAACAGAGGTGTTGGGTTTCTTCTTGGTTTGAAACTTTATAGCATTATTAGAACAGAGAGCACCCACAAGAGATCCACGATTCTTAGGAATGAGGCCAACCAAGGGGCCTTCTCCATGTGTACACACTGCCTCCCAGGTTCAAATCCCCCAGAAATCATGAGTTTCTTGGACACACTAAGTACCTTCCCTCCCTGTCACCTACTTCTCCCTGGAATGGCCAAAGAGGTAAAGCAAGAGCACAATTCTGTGCAGCCAGGTCCAGGTCCAGCACTTTACTCCCAGCAGAGAACCCTTTGTAAGTCACCCAGAAGGTCCCACCATGGGACCGTCAGCAACTGAACAGTTTCAATAAATATTTAATTGCATATGGGATAAATTAGAGAATTTATCACTTCGGCTTTCAAAAGTTTGAGTGTAATTTTGGCTTCTGGCTACTGCAACACGAAAATCTCTAGCAGCCTTCACTGTTTGTCCCTCTTTGGCCCCAGGGCCCATAAGCCCTGACTCTCACCAGGGTGTCTCTTAGTCAAAGTCCTGGACAGAATGAGTAGTGACCCACTGACCTGTGGGCCCATGCACCCTTCACGAGGATTACATTCAACTCCATCCCTCATGTCTCCTTTCCCAGAGGAGGGGTATCCATCCTAGCTGATTCCATGGAGCCTTCTCAGCCTATTTCCCTAGGGCGTGTATATCTGTCTCTCATCCTGCCCTTGGGGTAATAACAGTTCTCAGGTAGACTGAAAAGTCAACAACTTGTCTCTAATGTCATAGTGGGATGCTCAGGCTATACCAAGAGAAGAACAGGACTTGCTCTTCTTTTGGGCTAAAGCAGTGATAAAGTCTTCCTTTCCTTCAGCCCCTCACTGCAAGAGGTCCCCTAGTAGAACGAGCAATCTAGAAGAGTTTTCCTAGCCAAACTGGTACAATCCTTACCCCACTAAGGATCTGTGAGCTCTGTCTGGGGCTGGCAGGACTCCTCTGGTCATTATGTGGAGGGGTAGCAATTAGTGAGGGAAAAATGGTAACCGTGGCCAGAAGGGCCCCAGGAGGTCAGACAAACGCAGCGGCTCTAGCGAGCCAACTCCAAAATGGCCCTAGGATGACTCAGTTTCCTAACCTAAGGTCTTCTTTCTCCTCTTTCGGGATCTCATACATCTCTGAGGCCTGAGACCAGAGAAGGTTTTGCACCCCCTTTGCCAGAACTCCCTCTCTCAAGTCTGAGTAACAGGATTTGGAATGGCCTCTGTGGGGCAGAGATTCTCTCTGCCTTTTCGCACCTTTGCCAAATGCATTCCCTCCGAAAAGCTAGGCCTAGGTCTTCTAACATGTGCAGACTGTGTCTTGGTTGTCTCGCTTCACCAAAGCTGGATCCTCCCTGAGCGTACATGATGCTGGCAGCCAAGTGAGCGCCTGGATATTGGCGCTCACCACTTACACTGCGCTCCGCTCCGTGTGAACCCAGGATCCCGCACGATGCTAGGGCGGCACTCACTCTCTCAAACCCCGGACGTCCCTAGGACACCCTGATTCATCCTGGAAATCAAACTGACAGCTCAAAATTTAGGAATTAGAGCCACAGGCCCGACCTGCTCACAACCACTTAAAAAGGGGGTTTAACAGGATCAAAAATGCTCCATCCTGGCTAATAAACAATGTGCTCTTAGGCACAGAGAAAAAATAGGGCTTTAGGCACTAAAAAGTGACACTTAACCCAGATCCAGCCTGGGAGAAGACCAGAGAGAAGGGGAGGGGTGGGAAAGGAAGAAATTCCCAGCCCTTATGGGGTCCATACCCTTACAGGGGTGAGGGGAAGGTGCAGGGGTGATTGTGGGGAGGAGAGGGACACCATTCCGCACACTCGTCCTCGGGAGCCTGCAGCTACAAAGCCCAATCTCGCAGGGGCAGCCTTCCCAGCCTTCCAGCCCTCCGCCTGACTGGGGGCGCATGGTCCAGAGAAAGGGGGGTCGGAGGGGCTGGGGGGGGCTCAGGAGGCAGAGTTTAGATTGGGCACCTGCCTTTGATGCTTCCTGTTCACAAGAGAATACCTGGGGAAGCGTGGGGAAGGGAAGAAAAGATTCTCTTTTATTTTGGAAACAAATCAAGAGGGGTTTTGGGAACGAAGCACCTTAAGCCCCTGGAGACTTGGGAGACCCCGGGGTCTTCACAGGTGTAACTTTGGCTCGACAACGTTTCCCTTCTCAGAGCCAGGAACGGCCAGCGAGGGGAAGGGTGGGGGGGACAAGGGGGGGCGGGTTGGGGATGGGGGAGGAGGATCAGGGGAGGTCGGTGCTGAGAAGTGGTCCCTGCCCTCCTCGGCCCCTCCGCCGGCCAGCACAGGAGGCGGTCCCGCTCCTTCTCCCTGGTACATAGGCATTATCTCTTTTTAAAATCTGTATATAATATATATATATTTATATTCTGTATATATATATATTTATATATATATATTTATATGATCTATGTACACGTATTGCACGGGCCTCTTGCAGCTGCCCCTCTTCCTGCCTGGTCAGTGATAACGGTTCCTCTTCTCTTCATTTTCGGATGTGTAGTCACGGGACCTGATGCCGTTCTGAAGGTTGATGAGAGAGTCCTTCATCTGTAAGACAGGGAAGCCCACCAGCCCCGGGTACGGGCCCTCAGTGGGCTCCTCCGTCCAGCAGGTGCCCTGGCTCGCCAGCGGGTTCGAGGGAGCCTGAGACGGGGGATCCCATAGGACACGGTCTCCGGGAGAAAGGGGAGAAAGGGGGCAGCCAACCTAGCAGGCACTGGGAACCCCCAGGGTGGGGTTCGCTGTGTCCTAATGATGGGTGGCCTCCGTGCTGCTAAATGAAGAATTCTCTCTCTCTCTCTCTCTCTCTCTCTCTCTCTCTCTCTCTCTCTCTCTCTAAACCAAAAACTTCTCTCAGGGCATTCGATTGCTCTAAGGGCCCAGAGGAGCTGCCTCTCATTCAGTGTGGCTTCCCCGTCGCGCCCAAGGAGACCGCACTCCCATCTTTGTGCATTTTGCCACCTTGTTCCCCCCCAGCCCGGGGCTCTGCTCTCCTGCCGATTCCAATCTCCCCCATCGTGGGCCCAGAACACGTCCCAACTTTGGCTCATCATCCTCTTTCTTTTTCCTGGCTGCTTGGAAACCACTCACTGGGACCCTGCACCAGGGTCAGCTCTAATCGGTTCATGTGTTTAGATGGCAACATACACCCTGGGTGACAAGCAGAGAAGTGACAACTGAGCAGGCTTCTAGCTATCTACCCAGATCCTGGAATTAACCTTGACTGAATTTCTTAGCCCACTGTAAGAAACAGCCACACTGACATTGTCAGGTCATGGCAAAGAGTCTAAACGGGCCCTTCATACCCCAACACATTTAAATACCGTCTCCAAGTGAGCTGCTCTGAGACATCACAACACCGTTAAGGTCTCATGGGCACATGGTCATGGATTTTGAGATCCTCTAGTCTCTCTGTTTAGTCTACAGGTTTCTTTGTTCTCTCTGGTTCTTCTACAAACCCTCTGCTCCAAAGGGATCTGCTGTTTCTCTTTTAGAAGTTGCTTTAAGGGGCACCTGAGTGGCTCCGTGGTTGAGTGTCTGCCTTTGGCTCAGGTCGTGATCCTGGGGTCCTGGGATGGAGTTCCATATCGGGCTCCCTGCAGGAAGCCTGCTTCTCCCTCTGCCTCTGTCTCTGTCTCTCTGTGTGTTTCTCATAAATAAATAAAATCTTAAAAAAAAAAAGTTGCTTTGAAAGAGAATGAATCAAAACACCTGCCCTGACGCTTACAGAGTTGAGTCCACCGTGCTGTAAATCTGACCACCCCATGCTCACCGTTATAAGGGGTCCCATCCTGACACTGAATTCTGGAGCTGTAAGAGAACTGGGTCATCCAGTCCAACTGCCTCCTACTTTAAGATTTTTATCTGAGGTCATCTTGTCACCCCTCTTGTACTTGTGGTGATAGAGTCTCAGTCCTTTAAAGTAGCTCATCCCATTACTGGCTGCTCGACTCTAGGTGGTCTGTTTTTACCTGATGACTCAAAGCCCCCCTTCCCTGTAACTTCTAGCCACTGGAATCTCACAAGCAATCAATTTATCTTTCTACCTGCTGGACCTCCATGTCTGAAGACTATCCTGTTTCTCCTTGTCCCCATCCTTCCTTCTCCTAGGCATATCTTTAATTCCATCAAGTCTTCTTGATACAACAGGGCTTTCTAAACCCCCTGCTATGCCGTTTACCCCTTTTGTTAAAAAAAAAAATCCACAACTCCAAAACCAAATAGAATATTCTAAAACAGGGATCCCTGGGTGGCGCAGCGGTTTGGCGCCTGCCTTTGGCCCAGGGCGCGATCCTGGAGACCCGGGATCGAATCCCACGTCAGGCTCCCGGTGCATGGAGCCTGCTTCTCCCTCTGCCTGTGTCTCTGCCTCTCTCTCTCTGTGTGTGACTATCATAAATAAATAAAAAATTAAAAAAATTTAAAAAAAAAAAAAAAAAAAAAAGAATATTCTAAAACAGTAAATTGGATCCTGGTAGCCACATTAAAACCTCTCTCCTTAATTGAAAGCTAAGACCACGCTACAAAGGGGAAGTAAGATTTAATATTAATGAGTGCCTCCCCTGTGCCCTCAAATCCTGAAAGCAATTTCGTGAAGTTACAATTTTAACCCCCATTTTATAAATGAAGAAACTAGGTCACTAATGTTAAATCTCTCACTCAAGTTCACAAAACTAGCCAGTGGCAAGGTTGGGATTCCATCTCAAGTTGGGTTGACCAGCAAACATAAGGAACTCCTTTGGAATGGAAATTTTAATGGAACAAGGACAAATCCTTCATCTCCTATCTTCCTAGTTTTCTTATAGAGCAAAGGTAGCTTCTTGCTGTCTTGGCAACTCCATGGGAGTTTTGTATAAGATGCTAACTTCCTCTGAGGGAAGGAAGAGAAGCTCCCTCCTTTGGTGAAACTAAAGTTATTACTGATTTTGCTCCAGGATAATTTTCTTAAATAGATCAATCTGGTTATCAGAAGGAATACAGGGACCTGCACCAGAAGATGTTACGAAAAGCTGACACAGTACAACCACCATCTTCTCAGACTATCCGTGCAGCCTCTGAGGAAGAGTGATGTGTTGAGGGTTGTGTGTTGGGGTGTGTGTGTTGAGGGCAGGGGCAGGGGGTGGCATATTATCAAAAGGAACTCGCAAAATACACCCTCTGGAAAGACAAATCTCTGTGAAAGGAGGTTCTCTCTTTAAATGCCTATCAGGAAAAAAAAAAAAGCAGTCCTTCCATCTAACCTACAGCTTTCCTGTCGCAAATTTCATTGTTGTTGTTTGGGGGGAGTACACCTGTGTTTCCCACAACCCATTCTGGGGTGGCTTTAAAATTAGAACAATGGGTGGCTCCGGGGAAGAATGAATGAGAGGTGAAGTCTGGTGGGTGGTGATGGGGATGCTGATGGGAGATCCTTCCCAGAGCACAGGGACGGCGCTCCATCTCCAGAAGATGAGGGCCAGGAAAGAAGGTGGGGACATCTCACCTGGTCAAGAAGCATCACCGAGGATTTGATTATCTCCCTCCATTTCTGGAGCTCTGTATCGTGGTACTTTTGTTGGGATTCCAAGAGCTGGGCCCATTCTGTCTGAGACTGGGGTAACCTGTGGGGCAGAAGGAGGGGTACCCCGGCAGCTGGAGTTATGCTCAGTGGACTGTCCTGTGCTCCCAGACCCCTGAAGGACAGAGAGCACATCAGACTGCTTTGTCCTCTGCTCAACGCCCCTGGTTCCCCTGCACCCCAGGTCAGAAGCAGACTAAAGCTACAGGCGCCGTTGTCATAGCTTGCCTATGGACTCATCCCCAAGGGTTACCCACTGGCCAAGGGCAGCAGGGCCGTCCCTCAGGAAATGGGTGGAAGGAACTGGGTCCTGCTACTGGGTGCAGTGGAGGTCGTGGCAAAGGGAAGAGGTGAGGGTTACCTTTCTTGGAGCCTCAGACCCTGCCAGGCAGTGAGGGTCTGGGTGGTGTATTCCAACATCCAGAGTTTGTAGAAGAGCATCATGTTAAGGATGACCAGCAGCACCAGACTGCGAAGGAGACAAAGGGAGACAAAAGCAATGGGCATGAGATGTCATCTGAGAATGCACACTCCCTCTAGAAGCCACGGATGCCCCCCACCCCGGAGGCAGCTGCTGTCCTTGACCACTGGTCACCTGAAGCATGGCAGTGAGTGAGTGAGTGAGTGAGTGAGTGAGTGAGTGAGGGGGAAGGATGCTGCTAGGGGGAGAGGGAGAGAGAGCAGCGCTCTCCTCTGCAGGGGCTGGGACACAGCAGGAGAGCCACAGAGGGGCGTGTGGGTGAAGGCATCGGGAAGGAGAGCCGCACAAGAGCACCCAGACCCTGGGTGCGGGGGGAAGAGGGGAGATGGAGAGGAAAAGAGATGTAGGACAAACGGAGCAATCAGAGAGCCAGTACCTGAAACAGATCCTAATGGGAGAGCAAGGAGGAAAAATGGGGAGGAGGCAGAGGTTAGAACGGGCCGGTGTGGGGACGGGGAGGGCGGCACTGCAACCAAGCCAGAGAGCAAGCGAGTCGGGGGGAAGAAATACCGCAAGCGAGGACACACGGACGGACGGACAGGGAGGCCCAGCAAGCAAGGAGCAAGAGACAGCAGCTGCGAACAGATCGTAGTATTTCAAGGGTGACACACGGAGACAAGTCCTCCTGCCCGGCCACCCGGAGGCACAAGGGCGGAGCCGTCGGCAACCTGCTTGATCCGCCTGACAGGTGTCAACGGGATGCCCTAACGCATTGTCTCCCCTGCATCGTCTCCCCTTTGCACCTGCCCAGACCCGCAGGGCTCGTGAGGTTCCCCGGGCTGGACCAGAATGGGTGAGAGAGAGGAAGCCGAGAGACTGGGGACCTTTTCTTCTTCTCTGGGCCTCCAGGGCTGCCATAAGGCGAAGACTCGGGGAGCAAGGGGATCTAGCAGCGACGCACGGACCTGGGTACAATCCTGGCTCACCGCTTCAAGGTTCCTAACTTCTGATGAAGTTCTCCTGGCTCCCCTGAAGCCCCTTCCTCAATGAGCACGGTCCCTGCCCTGCTGGGGCTGCAACGCACGTGGGCTGGGGGAGCGGATGGAAGCGCCCTGCACACACACAGGAGGCCCTCCAGGGGGCTTTACCATTGGAGGCGGCGGCACTGGGCACACGTAGGGACACATGCACCCACAAGAGGGCAGAACAAACGATGGAAAAAGACAAGAAGATCAACAAGATCATCTTCAACAAGAAGATCTCATACTACGCCTTTGACCTTTCAAAGCGTGTGTGTGTGTATGTGTGTGTGTGCACGCACACACATGTATGTAACTGGGGTCTTCTGCTCCCAGCCCTTGGGAGGGTAGTGCTCCTGGAGTTGGGAGCTGCCAATCCCCGACCCCAGCAGTGTTCTCAGGGCTCTGAGATTTTTCCAGAACAATCTCTAAATTTCATGGTGACTTGCCACGATGCCGACTTCAGTTGTGCCAGCGCGTGCCCGAGGACCCGGACGTCCACCTCCGGAGCACGGGAGGCGCACAGTCTCAGCCCCAACATCCGGGTCTGTGTGCATAATCCCATCTGTGCTCCGTGCAGGTCCAGGGACACCCCTGCATGCTGTCTGAGGCAAGGCCCCACGGTAGGTCTACGCAGAGAACCAGACAACCGAGGAGGGAGGGCAGAGTGGCCTCAGGGCAGGGGACTGGTGGCTCGGGTCTCCCTTCCACATGCACACTGTCTGCAGACCCACTGCCGGGCGCTCTAAGTGTTGAGTGAGGAGGCCTGATTGTTAACCTAACACAGCGCCCACGCTCGCTGATGCCACGCTCACCATTTGTGAGTACGCCGACGTGCAAAGCTCGGAGAACTCATCTGAAGTTCAAGTTTTCTATCCACCAAACCCAACAGGAGAGACGTAACAGAACCACACGAGCCCCCCAGATGGAGGGTGCTAAACACGAATCTTCCTGGCTGCACAGTTGCCTTGGCGTTCGACTTTGTAAAAATGCGCCGGCTCCTTAGGGCACACGCCGAAGAATCTACACCTGCTTTTTTGTTACATACTCAGTAGGGTGAGAAGAGAGCCCGCCTCATGATCCTCATGGGCCCCCCTACTTTCCGTGGTGCCTACCCCTTGTCTGTAGCCCCCTTTGCTTCTGACACTCGGCGCTGCCCTCAGATGGTCTCATCCTCACCCGTGGCTGCCAGGCTGCTGCTAAGTCAGCATGGGCAAGCTCTGCTTCTCCGCCTCCCTGCAGGTGCACGTCAGCAAGTACCTGGCCCCTCCGCCTGGATCACCTACGGCAACTCAAGACACACCCAGTGCCCAGACAATCTTCTCCGACAGCTCTGCACCCCGTTCCAGGTATCAGTTAATGACACCATGGTCTCTGGGCGCTCTTCTCCGGCTACCCAACCAGACGGGCCACGGGCCTTGGCCTTGCCAGACCTCTGGGCCCCAGCCCCCTCCCCGGCTGGGCAGTCACGCTCACCTACAACTCTGCCACTTACTCCAACAGCCTGCTTGCCTCCAGCCCTACCTTCTCTAGGCTTCCCCCCGTGGCTGTCAGTGACTTAAAAAAAAAAAAAAAAAAAAAGCAAAGCCAATCACGTCACTCTAGGACTTCCTGGTAGGTCTGGGGGGGGTGCCTCTGCTTCTGCCTCTGAAAACGAGTTAAGTGGGGGCCTGGAGGAGTGGGAGGGGGTGCCACAGAAGCAGCAGACACAGGCTAGTGCCCGGTGCACAGCTGGCAGGGCCTGCGTCTGGACAGCTCCCACACCCCTCACCCGCCTGCGCCCCCACATGCTCACAGCACACCCCCAACTCCAGGAAAGGCGGGGGTGCCCGGCAGCAGGCTGAACCGGGCAGCTGAGTTGTTTGCACTCGGCCATCCCGGGACCCCCTGAACCGCTCCCAGCGGGTCAGGGGCGTCCAGGGCAGGCTATGGGCATACGCTGCACACAGCTGTGCTCTCCACGGGCCACGTGCATTTCTTCCCACATCCTCTCTCCCTGCCCGGCATCCTTCTGTGAACGGTACTGAGTCTCCTGTTTTATAGCATGACGGCGGTACTATAAATTATTTACATTAATATAAGCAATATACTACCCTGGACCGTAGTCAATTGATTTTGTCTGACTCTCCTGCCAAAGTGTGAGCCCATGAGTGCCCGGTCCCCGCACCCGGGACACAGCAGATACTCAGGACATCCCTCACATGAATGAATGGGCTTCTACGATGCTATGTAGAGTCTCTGTTAGCATCTCTCCCAAGGGATAGTAATTCTAAATTTCCTGTCTGTCTTAATCACTTGAAAGTAGGTTCCTACGGGCATGGGTTCCACATACAACATTCTGTTCTCCATCCGGAAGGCCTAGCTTACAGCGAATGCTTAATAAAATGGAGAAAAAGCAGCAAAGAAGCAAGGAATGATGGACAGAGCAAGTGGTCTGAGGAGAGAAGGCTAGAGGACAAAGAAAGGCCGAGGTCACAGTGAGGGGCGCTCATTCGCCTGAGGAGCCAGCAGGCGGGGAGGGCAGGTGGCGGGGCCGGGGAGGAGAGCTGGGATCCCTTACACACAGCTGATAATCAGCAGCAGCTTGGACACGCTCTGCAGGTGGAAACCATTAGGGGTGTCCTCGGGGATATGCCGTGTCTGCGTGGAACCTGCGGGGAGAACAAAGAGGCCTTGACCATGCTGGCTCAGGAGCCCAGGGGCTGCTGGGACAGCCGTCACACACAGAACCACAGGGAATGACTGAACTGTCCACAATGCTGTCACGACCACGAGATGATCGATCCACCCAGCCCTCCAAAAGTACGTGGTAAGCTCCCCAAGGGCAAGGTCGTGGGCTGGGTCAGGCAACGTGGACATTCAGGTCCAAACCAACTGGAAACTCCATGGCCTTATGAGGCCAGGACATGCCAGGGCAGGACAAAGGGCTCTGCAGTGGAGCTGTGGCACACGCAGCCACACAGGGGCTGGGACCAGAGTCAGCCTTCAACTCAGCGTCACCCATAACCAGTGACGTGGTGCTGATGAGTCTCAACTCCTCTCGGAGAGTCGGTTTATTCACACACCATGCTAGTCAGAAATCCTATACGTAAGGGAGTGCTCTGGTTGAGGCTGACGGGGTTAGACCCAGAAGGCTGGCACCCTCCTCTCCTGTGCCCCTCCCAAGGAACAACACCAGGGTGTGCAAATCATGGCCTGAAAAATACTGGATCAGTGGTTTTTTGAGGCCTCTTATGGTACAGGCCACAATGTCTGAATGAAGACACAAGGTTGTGCGTGATTGGATGGGAAGAGGAAGACCTGTCAAGGGAGTCCTTTGCCTGTGATGGCAGGTCCTGGGTGGGCCTGTGGGGGCCAGGTGAGAGGGGCTGCCTCGGACTCCCTGACGTTTGTGTTGGGAGGCCATCTCTGGCCTGAGCTGTGGTTGCTCCCTGATGCATTTGCCAAAAACTTGGAAGCTGCTCATTTGAGTCCATCAGGACGGACCTGAGAACTTCTGTTCAGCAGACACTGAGGAACTTGAGTCCCTTTAGTAAAGGGCAAAGCGAACTAGGTGGAGAATCGGGAAGCTGAATAAGGAGTTAGGTGCAAACTATATCCAATCTATACCCAAGGATGCGAGATGAGAGCGTACGTGTGTCTCGGCATGGGCACGCAGCTCTAGCCCAGGGCCCTAAGCCACACCACCCATTCCCAGCTGGCACGCACCTGCCACGTGTTTGATCCTGTGGCCCACATCTTCATCAGTGGGTGTGGTGACGGGGCTCATCACCTCTTCCAGGTGTGGCACCCGCAGGTGGGCATGGGGACGCTTCCTCCTCCGTACCGTCGGGGCCTTGCTGGTCTTCTCTTTGGGGGACTGTCTGTGCATCTCAGCCAGGTAGGTGCTCTCCGTTTTGGTCAGCTCACTCTCTGCATGAGATAAAAGGCCATCCGTCTCTACCTCCAGCTTGGCGCACTGGCCTCCAGAAACAACTGTTTACTCCTAGAGCTCAGCCCTCTCTAATAAGAGAACTGTCTTCCCACACTGTGCGCTGGGATGCTGCCTGGGAGGACACGGGCTCCTTAGGGATGGCCACAAGCCTCAGGAAGTACCACTGGGATCCACTGGGATGCAGCCCCACCCAAACCCCTCTCCTGGGCTGCTCAACATTGTGCAGAGACACAGGTTCCCAACACCTGCACCTCAAGTAGACAGTTTGGGGCGCATCACATTCCCAAATGGATGCATTCACAGGCTCTTCCTTTCCATAAGTGTATTACCACTGGTGTGACGAGATGTGACATCATGTGGGCGGGGGGGGGGGGGAGGTCACAGGTCCCATAGTAGTTACAGGCAAAGCCTCTTGGAAAACGCACAGGTCCACAGACATGCCAAATTCTGTATCCATTCCTGGGGCCGCCATAGGGAGCCCGTGACACCCCCCACCATCTGGATCTGGCCCCCACTTCTGTGCTTCCCACTCCCCCGAACGGCAGCCACTGAGCAGCTGAGCTGGGGTCTGCAGTTCAACCAGCGCCGATGGCTCAGCCCTTGCTCACCGAGGTGGCGGAAGTAGTCCTCCAGCCCACTCCAGAAGTTCTTTTCAATGAACGTTTTCACTAAGCCCCAGGGCTGTTTTCGATAGCGCAGCTCCGTGGAGACCCTGCGGGACAAGCCAGGCACGGGTCAGCCTTTCCCGGGCAGACCCTCCGCTGCTGGGAAAGGGGTTTAAGTGCAAAGCAGCATCACATCGGTGCTGCACTTGGCGAGGTGAGAAGCCCCTTCACGCCACAGCCGCTAGGCCAGCCGATCTCCCCGGCCAGCTTCAGAGGCCAGCGGAATCAGCGGGTTGATCCTTATTTTATTATTTTTTTAAAAGATTTTATTTACTTATTCATGAGAGACACGGAGAGAGAGGCAGAGACACAGGCAGAGGGAGAAGCAGGCTCCTTGCAGGGAACCCCAATGTGGGACTCGATCCCGGGACCCCAGGATCATGCCGAAGGCAGGCACTAAACCACTGAGCCCCTGAGGCGCCTCTGAGCCTCACTTTATAAGTGAGAAAATGGGAGTTCTAGAACAGTCCAGGAGACCAGACAGGGGCTAACAAACAGGGTTCCTGACTCCAGACCCACAGTTCTTTCATGAGGCCACGCTTCTTCTCCGGATGGTGCCAGGTGGCCGGCCAGCCACAGGGGTCCTTCGTCTCTTCTGCAGAGACTTACAAATCCCAACCAGGCTCTAGGGCTCCGTCACTCCGACCTTTAGGAGAGTGACTGGCTGCCGGCCCTGGCTCCTGCCTCTCCGCACCACCAACACCTTGCCAGCTCTTGCTTTTTTCTAGGCATTCCCTCTCCCAGTCACAGGTCCCTCTGCTGCCCACGCTGCTCACACCCCAGCCCCTTCCCCTCTTCCTGTGTCACGGCTGCTCCCAGGGTATGCTCCCCTTTTGAAGGCTGCCTGGCCCTCTCCCCGCTGTCCTCGGGGACAGCAGGGCCTGACCTGGGCATGCCAATGCTTCTGAGTCACCTCACCCCCACTCTGCCCAGCAAGCGTTCATGGGATCGCGGGCGGGCGCCTTTCTGTAGAGGCTTATCTGAGGTCAGCACGCTGCCTCTGCGTGAACTGGACAGAAAGGGGGTCTAATCAGGAGACTCTCCAAAGAAGCTGGAAGTGAGAAGCCCAGACCCTGTGCAGGGAAGGATGGTGGAGGCAAGAGGGAGGAGAGGGGAGGGAGGGAAGTGAAGGGAGGAAGGAGGGAGTGAGGGAGGCGTAGATAGTCAGAGACCAGCACAGGCACCAAAACTAAATAAATAAATTAAAAAAATATATATATATATATATTAAAGAATACGAAAAAAAATAAAGAATACGATGAGAATAATGCAGGCCTTTCTGAGACGTGGGTGGTTCAGAGCTTCTCAGTTCCCAACAGGTCTCTCTGTAGCCCTGCACCAAACCCCCGTTCTATTGCGACCCCACGAGCAAAGACACCCACGCCCACCAGGAACACCCTGGGAACCCACGCAGCCCCTCCAGTCGCCACACCTGAGTCGACTCTTGTTCCGAGCCACGCGGGTGAGAGTGTAGCGGTTGATGGTGTAGAAGTAGTCGTGGTAGGGCACGTCGTGCGTGAGGACCTCCGCGTCTATCACGTAACATTCACTCTCTTGGCTCGCCTTGTACATGGTCTGTGGGGAGAAGGGTCCGTGGCATAAAACACAAGAGAAGTAGGACAGGAAAGGCACCGCCCTCGCTCCGCTCCCCACGCTCCCCCGCCGTGTGCGTGCAGGGCCCCGAACTGCTGGCGATGGCAGCACGGCGTGTGTCCTCACCTCAGGGCCAGACGACACTCCTGCCACTTATCCAGGCCCCTGAGCCTCGACTCACCTGCGTCTCCCTGACGGTGGCAGTTTTAGGGGCCAGAGGGTTGGTAAGGGTGATGGTGTAGAGGATCACTCGGCTCTGGTTTCCATTCTCTTCCTTCTTCCATGGATGGAAGATGATATCTGAGGGTGGGGAAGAGCCCCGGGATGAGAGAGGGACAGAGGCATGCCCTGGCCACGTCTGCATCTCCCCTCCAAGTGAACTCTTGACTATACTGATTGCCGCCTGGCCCCCAAAAGGAAGCAAATGGGAGCCTGAGGGCCCAGGGAGGAGGGTGGGAGGCGCAGGGAGTGAAAGCAGAAAGAGGCTCATTGTGGCATTGCCGAAATTCTACACAGGCCTCCAGAATGCTGATTGTTCTCGGGGCTGGGACAGGCGGTCTCGGGGCCACCTGCGGGGGTGCTGGCAACACTGGAGTCACTGTGACGAGGGCCCGGGATCCTTGGGAACAAGCCCTCTCCCCTGAGGCATGCCCTCCCGGTGCCCTCAGCCTGCCCTCTCCTCCTGGCAGAGGGCGACGCTGATGTCAAATGCCTTCGCACAGAGTCGGATGCCCAGCAGCTCTGCTAGGCCAGAGCCTCAGTCCGTGCGTGGGGCAGAGCCAGGGCAAGGGGAGGAGACAGGAGCACGCAGGTACGAGGAGGGCCATGCAGAGTCCTGGATGGGAGTCCGGGCTCGGGCCCTACAGAGGTGCACAGCCCTGGGCAAGTAAGAAAGGTCGGAGTTCTGGCTTCATGGGTACCCCGGGGCCCGCAATGCTCGCACATCCGGCAGATCCGGGTTACATGAGATGATGTAATGCGCTCGGCAGGCCGTGGGGGCTGAGCAGTAAGAGGTCGAGGCTACTCTTTGCTACACGGTGAGTCCTGGGAGGGTGACTCGTTGGTGAGCCTTTGGGGCCTGGTGCACAGTGAGCGAGCATAAAGCTGAGCCCTGGGTGACGGAGTAGTGAGCAGGGCCCTGGCACGGGGCTGGAAAGAGGGTGGGGGGGATGGGGGGAGACTTGGCGAGAAGAGGAAAAAGGGTGGCCTGAAAGGGAAAGGACAGGAGGCGCCAGCCCTGGAAAAACTGACCGGAGAAGCGCCGCTGCTCCATGAAGTCCCGCTGGAAGGGCGAGTCGGTGAACAGCAGGTCATAGAGCTTGTCCACGCTGAAGTTGAAGACCTCATTCACGTACTGCCGGCCACTCAGGTCCTCATAGAAGGCCTGGACCTCCCCTGCACAGAAGAGGATGAGGAAGTAGAGAGTGGGGGCGGAGGGGCGGGTGGCCCCAAGGACACCCCCAGAGCACTTATGCAGCATCAGCCACCAAGGGTCAAGGGTGGCCGGAGTGGGTAGTGGCTCGTGACTGTGCATGTGTCCAACTCCTCTGTCGCTGATGTGCACACAACTCACTGGCATTCTCTTCATCCCTCCTTTGCAGAGACTATGGGAACATACTATTTGCTTTTACATTTTCAAGCCTTCCTAATTAAGCTGATCTTAGACTAAAATTTCAATGAAGGATTATTTCCTGAGCTTCCCTGCACCCAGACACTTCTGTTATCCAGAGCCTGTAAGTTAAGCACAACTGACAACACACGGCATTGCAACCACGGCACAGGTGCATCAAAGGGACACAGATTCATCTGTAACTACCTCTTCATATAAAAAAAGCTTCTGGGGCACCTGGGTGGCTCAGTGGGTCAAGCCTCTGCCTTCGGCTCAGGTCATGCTCTCAGAGTCCTGGGATCCAGCCCTGTGTCGGTCTCCCTGCTCAGAAGGGGACCTGCTTCTACCCTCTCCTTCTGCCTGCCACTCCCCATGCTTGTATGTGTTCCCTCTGTCAAATGTATAAATAAAATCTTTAAAAATTTTTTAAAAATAAAATAAAAGCTTCTAAGGCTGGGCTGGACTGTAGGGCCGTGATCTAACCACACAAGGTCTGCTCCTCTTCTCTAAGGCAGCCTGTTTCCCCCAAGATTTCAATGCTTGTCACTTTTCTCAGGTTTCTACCTGCTCTCGGAGAACGTGCCTGTGAGCTGCTAAAGTCCCGGCACTCCTCCCAAGCCCTTGGCACCCCATAGTCCCTAATTACTCCACCTACGGAGGCTGGCATGTGGTCTCAGGCAAGATGCTGACATTCCTGGAGCCCCTGTGGCTCAGAAACATTGTAGGGGGCTGGTAACTGTACAGGATAAACACTATGTGAGCACAGTGGGGGGACAGTCACGTCCAAGTGAATGGCACCCCTGTTGTTGTACAGTACCCAACCTGTGCAATCCTTTGCACTGGCCCTGCGTCCTAGATGGGAGTGGGGAAGACTTTCCAGGGGACCACAGGAGAAACGGTCCACAGATGTTTCAACGAGCACCATCTACATACAGGCGCTGTCCTAGCCTTCCATCAAGTTACTGGATCAACCCATTTCATGAATACCGACAACAAGGCCTCTCGGCCCCAGAATGCCAGAGGCAGCACATTCCCAAGGTCCTAGAAGCTAACCCCGATGCAGGAGTGAAGTAAGATACGCTACCTAGAAATACGAGAGAGAAGGGCAGATTGCAGAGTCCAAGTGACCCAGCAAGACCTTTTCTTGCAGCCTGATGGTCTGAAAACCCAACTCTGGAGTCACTGAGGCGAGCTTCTATTAAAATCGCATTATTCCTGGGAAACAGCTGACTGGCACTTTCCTGTGGCATATGAACACTGCCTTGCCTTGCATCGCCACGAGGAACAGAGCCGGGACCAACAGGCAGGTACGTTTAGTGACAAGACTGGGTGGCAGGATAAAGCGATCCATAGAATAAAGACAGACAAATATGGAATGATAAGGATCCTGCGGGGACTATCTGGAAAAATGTGTGTCTGCCAATGACAAATAAACCCACCCTTCCACCAGAAACCCAGAGACTGGCTCCAGCCTCCCTACAGGGACATCCTGTTGGCCTTCAAAATGGAGAGAGGCGAGGCTGCCCTGCACACCCAGTTTCAAACGCCCACCTTCATCGTGGGTGTCAGAAGAGTCACTAAGCTCAGTGGGAATGTCCTCATTGTCATTGAAGTCCAGCGAAGGGGAGGTCACAGGCGCAACGATCTCAATCTTCTCTCCAATGATGTTGTCAATGGCAAGCTCCTTCTCCAGTGACCCATCGCCCTCCAGCACCTCCTCTTCCAGGGGCAGGCCGTCGAACTGGGGTGGAGACAGAGCAGTCACCAACAGGTGCCACCTGCTTCGGGTCTCCTCTCTGAAGGGAGATTAGGGACCTGGCCTTGGGTACCCTCCCGTTCACAACACAGCTGCTCAGGAGCTGGGCCGGAGCCGTGGGCTCCAGCGTTTTCCCCAGCTCTGCCATGGAAGACAGAACACAGCAGAAGGTTCCTTGTCCTGCTCACCATCACAGAACACACAGAAGCCTGGGCAGGGAGCAGGGTTAGCCCTCTCGGTCTCCGCTCCCTTCCTGGAGCTACTCACCCACCATGCTACATGTCAGCCTGCCTCTCACTAGCACTCGCCTGCCAAGACGCTCCACAGCTTCACAAACATTTTTTAATTCATTCTCCCCTTAGCCCCAGAAGGAAATAGATACCAGCCTTTATATTTGTAAGATAGCCTCAGAGATGGAAAATGGAGAGATCAGGACCTGGTAAATGATGTTTTCCTTCTAAGGCCAGGTGGTCTGACCCCCCCACCCAAGCCACTGGAATATGAGGCTCCCCTTTCCGGGGAGCCCACCCATTCTTCTACCTGCCCGCACACACCTGACACTTCCTTCACCAAGCTTGCTTCCATCCCCTCTGTAACCAAGTGTCAGAGAACAAAGACCTTTCTTGACACATTTTTACCTCTTTTGTGAAGTCTAGCGCAGCAGTATAATAAATCGGGAGTGTATGATACTGGAAACTCAAAAACTAATTGTTGAATGAGGGAACAGATAACAGGTCCATAGTCCTAGAGTCACATATGATTTTGACTTCAGATCAAGGCAGTTTAAAAAAACAAACAAATAAACCCAAACACCTGGGATAGTTCCCCACTGAGGGGCTGATCAGGAGCCGTCCACCAAGAGCAAAGCTCACACAATGGAGCATGTGATGGTTTTCATCGGCTCGGAAGCCAAACAAAATCTTGCATCCAAGGCACTGAGAACCCGGCTCTGGGTCCTGGGACCTCGCCATCAGAACAGAGAGCCCATCGTCTCCAGGATGCCTCCTTGGCTAAGCCGACCACAGTGTAACCACCCTCCCTTCTATCCGGTCCCCAGGCCAGGGTCCTGCGGAGTTAGCTCAGCTAGGAAACGCTGGCCACAGTCTAATTGCCCATACCGAGACGGGGGCTTCGCTGCTTCCTGTGGAGGTCAGTGTGCTGTTGGTGATGGATTTCTTGGGTAGCTGCGGACTGGCATCTGGCTTGGTCTCGATGCTGCTTTTGGATGAGCTGTCATTCACTTCATTTTCTTCCACGGGGATCTCCTCACAGTAGCTGAGAGAAGACACCATGCACCCCCGTTAACCTCAGTGGCCAGGACCACCGACTATTCTAAGGACGTCAGGTCGCTCTATCCATCCCAAACTATGGGCTTTCTTGCTTCTTTGCTTTGTAGATGACCTTCCTCTGGACACCATCCCCCTGGCTACACTGCTCTCCTGAAACCTCCTCCCGACCTCGCACTCCCCTCCCGTGTACGATTTCTGCCTCCAAAGTCACCTTTTCTATGCACTCTCCTTAGATTTAACCCTATCCAAACTATGACCATTATGTGTCTTACACTATCTTTCTTCCACTGGCATTCCAGCCCATCCCAAGCAGACCACTGACAGAAACACCTGGGCTCTGAGCATACATTTTATTTCCCACACAGTGATGAGGACGAGACTCTGCACCAGCGTAGTTTGGTGATAATGCCCAATTTCTGGATCCTAACTAGTGAGCTTCTTTGTCTGGGACACCTGAAAGGGAACCCTCCCAGAGATAAAGGTAAGCGCCCTTCTAGGGACACTTCAGGGATGTCACTGTGGCCTCTCCCAAGGGAGAAACCATCCCGGTCATCGACATCTGACTTACACTTTACCTTTGACCCCACCTGGATACATGACAGCTCTGAGTAACCCATTACAGGCCTCCTAAAGATAATCATACAGATATTCACAGAGATTAAGAGATTCCTTCCACACACCACCACCACCGAGCCTCCACCCACCTCCCCACCTCAAACATGCTAGAATGGCTCCAAGATCCTATCTTTCTCAACCCATCAACAGCACAAGATACAGTGATGCTTCCTTCTCCTAAAGCTTCCTTCCCTTGGCTTAAAGATGCGAGCTCTCCCTGTGTTCCTCCGACCTGGCTGCTTGTTCTTTCAGAATTTCTTTTGCTGCTTCTTCCTTTTGTTGAGTGCTCCTAGGCCGACCTTGAACTTCTTCCCATGTTCATCCAGCTGCTTGATGGTTTCAGCTAATCTCATGGCTGTCCCCTCATAATTCCCAAATTGATATCCCTAACCCAGCATTCCTTGGTGAATGTCACACTCACATACAAAAATGTCTGTGTGACATCTCCACTTGGCCAGCAGTCATCTCAAACCCAACTTGATTGATCTTCCCCCAAAGTCTGGTCTATAATACTGTCCATCTCGGTTTGGAACAGCTCCAGCCTTCCGGTTGGTAAATCCAAGAAAACCTTAAAGCCATCTTTGGTTCTTTTCCAATCTGTCAGCAAATCCTTCAAAATATACCTGCTTCCGCTTTCAAAATGTATTCACCAACTAACTGCTTATTGCCATTTCTACTGCTACCCTCCTGGCCCAAACCACCTTCACCTCTCATCTAAACGATCTAAATTATTCAATAGCCTCTTAGCCCGTCTGCCCCTGTTCCTCCCTGGTATATCTATTTTCAATCCAGGAGCCAGAGTGAGCCTGTTAAAATGTTAAGTCAGATCTTATCAATTACCAACTCAAAAGCCTTCCCAGGGCTTCCCAGCCCACTCTGAGTAAAATCCAATCATTGCACTGGCCGAAGGGTCCTCAGAATGTGGCCCTTGGCCTCCTCACCTCTTTCTGCCTGCCCTTTGTTCATTCTGCCCAGTCACCCACTTGCTATTCCTTCTGCCTAGGAGGGTCTCCCCAGAGGTACCCTCACTTCCTTTGTGGACTCACTTAGACATGGTTCCCCAGTGAGGCTGTCACCCCTCCACCCATCCCAGCCCCTCTTGGAAGAAGCTCCCTGGGCAGCTACCCTTAGTCTTGCTCACCCCATCGTGTTGAAGTCGTCATCAGGGGGCACGTAGTCCTCATCGTCACTGGTAAGGCCCAATTCATTCCCATAACACTGGTGGACAAAGTGCCAGAGCTCCTTGGGGCACAGGGGCTGCAGGGGACAACAGAGCGACTCTGACCCTTCCTTCCTCGGGAACCCACTCTACCCAGGGGCACTGAGTTGAGCTGGACTCCCCTGGGGGCAGGAGAAGCTGGCTTCCACTCTCCCTTGCCTGAACTAAGAAGAGAGCAGCGCCTCCTCCACTCCCTCCTCCCTCCTCTCAGGATCACAGCGAAGACGCCCATCCTTCACCTAAAAATATGGCTTTCAGCAAAGCCAGGAACCTGGCCCTGTTCCCACAGCTCAGGTTTGCATAATGGGATTAGCTGACCCCTTAAGGATGGTTAACTATCCATCTTTGCTCCTACGGATGAGGTCAAGCATTGAGCGTGATAAATCCATGTTACTCTTGGAGCCAAGGTGACCCCAGAGCTTCTGATTTGGACTTGATGCCTTGAGCCAGTCTCCCAGACCCACATTAATCTCCCAATACTAACAGCGGCCACTCCATAGTTGGGACAGTTCCCGTGGCTGGAAAGAAGCCTACGTTCTCAGAATTTCAGGGGCCTTAAAGATCATCACAACCAACCCTCTCTTGGCTACCTGAGTACTTTCTTCTTTATTCTCCAACAGAATCTGTTTGCCTACAGTAGTATGGTCTAGTTCCAGTTTCTTATTTCCCAGGGTATCTACACACCCTCCCCAAAAGCACTGTCCTGAGAAAAGAAAAGTGAGCTCTCGTGGTTTGGATTTTTTTGGGAAAGGGGCAACAGAACGTGGAAGAGGGATGCCTGGTGGGAACATGCATGAGCTGTAAATTGGGAGGAGGAACAGAAGGTGACAGTGCGGCCAGTATGTGAAAAAGAGGGCAAAAGCTAGAGAAAACCAGAAGGCATCAAAACACAAAGAAGCATTTTAAATCAAACGTTAAGAATGTTTCCCATCAACAGATCTGATAAGGGGTCTGAGAATTTTCCGAGCCCATCCTCCCAAGGCGTGGTTTAGGAAGCAGGCAGTGCCAGGATGCCATGAGTCAGGGCTCTGGTTTTGTGACTGAGAAGTGCCCAGAATGGCAGAGTCAAGGGTGCCCTCTGAGCTGGCAGGTGCTGGTCCTCACCGAGCCAGTGGGAGGCATCATCTTCTCTTCCCTCGGACCCTCCTGCCTCCTAGCCCTGGCCCTTATGTAGACCATTCACCCCACGTGGGACACACATCTGCCTCACTGCCCCACCACGTCCTCCCCTTTGTCACAATTCCCCTGCTGTGTGTGCCCTTCTCTGACCAATCCACCTGGCTTGGCTTGTCTGCCTACAACCAGGACAAGGACAATCAGCAGACATCTACCTTGTGGGAGCGTCTGCGAACCATGTGGGCGATGCTCTGTCTTATTCAGAAATGACAGTGGTTGTGAACTCAAGATCCAAACTTCCCAGTGGAGGTTCAAGCATATGATCATTTTACTACTATCAATGGCTCATCAGGGCTGCAGATCTCAGCTCAAATTAGTTACCTGGATTTGTGCCAGGGCTCTAGGCCTTCAGGTTAGAAGAAATTCTAAATAATAAATTCTGCTCCATTTACTTTAGGTTGTTTCGGAGTCAAGGTATGTACATGTGTGTCACATATATGTAATATAATTATAACCATATAACTTTTCTATTACACCTCTTTTCCTGGTTTGGGGGCTGTTTCTCAACATCCCCCAGTATCAGAGTGGGAGCTCTCTAAGGAATGCGGCTGTGATATCGCCAATATCTGTGCCCCCTCACAGGCCTTTGGATACTGAAAAGTCAAACTGGTGTCTATATAAACTCTATTATCCTATTTGCTGTATTTCTGATGCACCGGCATCTGAGGCCTTGTGGACTGGGGAGCGAATGCCCACCCCGGGATTAGTTAATTCCAGGAGACAGAAAACAACTCACCCAGAAGTGCACGTTTTATATATAACCGGCCGATCCAAAGCCTAGACCCTCAACCACCCTCTTTCCCAGATCCTTACAGTCCGGGCCAACGTCACCCGGTCTCAGGTACCCCAGGGACAGGCAACCAGAGACGGTCTCTATATCCCGAAGCCTGATGGGATTATTCGAGCTGGCCAATCCTAAACCTGGCTGGCCTGCTTGCCCTGCCTCGCCCATTCCTTCCTGCAAAAAAACACAATCAAAGTTCTTGCCTGTGGTTTCCCCTCGCTCTCTCTGCCTCCTGACTGACCCTGGCCACCTTCACTTCCCATGTGTTTCTGAGGTTGTGACCTGCCTCTCTGCCGCTATGAAACTGAGAGTATGAACACCGAATCCTTCCTGACGATCCTTTCCACCTCCGTGGGTCTCACCGACCTGGTGAAGGCAAACCCTGGTATGTTTTAGAACGGTGGAGCTGAAACTGCCCAAAGTCGATGAGGGCAGCAATAAGGCTGTTCACACACCGCCACCAGAGGAGAATACGTGACTCAAAGCACATCTGGGGACTTCCAGAACCTTTAGGACACGTGGGCTGCTCTGGAGCTAGCCCACGTCACAGTGAAAGCATGCTCTCCACGGGGCCCTCACTCCAGGGGAAAGAATGTTCTAGATCGATGTGTGTCCTGAGGCCCAAGGAAGGGATGGGCAGCACTTACCTTTTCAAGGAGTGCATTTTGCCAGAGTCGGAACATCATCATATACGTCCTATCCCGGGCCCCAAATGAAGTGAAAAAGTGCTAGATCGGAAGAGAACACAGCAAGAGGTGCCTGGTAAGACTCACACACTAAGCGAGGGAGATAGGGCGCTTTGTCCTTCTAAGAAAAGCTACTGACTTCATCCCCAAATATTACGGACTCGGTTGTCCGTGACCGTGATGCCAAGGTACTCTAGTACGGGGACTGGTCCACGGGGCCCAGGTACCTGGCACCTCCAGGTCCCCACTGCCACTAAGTCCTGCAGGATTCACCCCTGCTTTCCACGGTGCTTCTCCCTCTGTGGAGGTTTCATCTCCATAAAGCAATTTCCTTCACCACTGACTACAACCGGGTTAAGCGGTGAGCTGTGAGCCAGCCCTTTGGGATGGAGAAGACAAACCCACTACCCCACTCACCCTCTCATCTGCTAATTCGACAAATACTTGACTGTCTGGGATACGATTTTACAGCAGTCACCACAGACACTCCTCTTTACTGTGCCTTACACATTAGTGGGGACCCTTTATAACATGCAGGAAGGAAATGGTGGGAAACCAGATTTTACTGAACACGATCCAAGGGCTTCACGAGTGCTGCTGCTTCATTTAAACCACATGAAAACCTTGGAAAATAAACATAACTGCTAACACCTAATGAGAAATAGGCTGGTGGGATTAGGTGACTTCTGTAATCACAAAGCTGATCCATGCCGGCAACAGAATTCAAACCAAAGACTATCTGACCCCAAATCTTATGGTTGTTATCACCACTGAACTGCCTGAGTCCAAGGGCTCTGTAGACCTGAGATCAGCAAAGACCTAGTCCACCCCTAAGCCCCAAAGCTGTCGGTCTCCAGGCTCTGGTGAAAGGGAGATGATCCTCGGGCCACATTTCCCCCGTGGCGGCATGGACAATCCACTTCCTACCAGACTCTTCATCCCTTCCAACGAGCTATGCCGATACCTAACAACTTATGTGTTTGCACAGCACTTCATAATTTACTGTTTTCAAATCTGTGATATCACTTCAAGCGTCTGTTATAGGAAGGACTAGCTCCATGTTATACATGAGCAAACTCATGTTGAGACACATTACACACCACACCCTTGAGACTCAAGTTCAAGTGCTCTGGCTCCAAGTCGAATCTATAGACCTTCCGTACTTGCCCCTGCTCAGACTTGAAACACCCTGATCCAATGGAGTTGGTCCCTGCAGTCTGTATCACTTTACCTTCCCCCTCCCCATCCTCCTAGATCCCACATTCAGGCCACTGAAGGACAGAAATACAGAAGTAGGGGGTCTGGGGCAGTGGGGGGTTGAAGGGCCAAGATTAGACTCCACTCACTTACCTTTTCTGAGTCAGTGCAAACTTGAATGGCATTGGGAATGAGGCGAGCTGTTTTTTCTTTAGTCATGGAGCAGATGTCTTTCAAACGTACAGTCAGCTGGGACCCCCAGAGGGACAGAGAATGGATAATAAGAAGAGACATTAATTGAGTCGGCAACGGATGTTCACATGGTAATAGTTACGAGAGAGGAAACCAGACCTCACCTACATATCTCTATACCTGGGAGGGACCCCCCCCCGCCAGAGACCATCTGGTTTAGGCCCCTACATCACAGAGGCCACAGAGTGAGATGATGGCTGAGCCTCGCCTACAGCCCAACAGTGGCTCAGCTGATGTCCAGGGGGCCTTCCTTTACACATCCACACAGTCTGATTACTGTGCAGAGACCCCATCACTGCTCGCCACTTACAGAAACCCACAACGATGGCACTGGATAAAACCATAAAAGTCACCCATTCTATTTTATAAGATAAGGGGGCAGAGAAAGAACAAAGCACTGGCCTAATGATACACTGCTAACTAGCTGGAGAACCCAGATAATGTACCACCCTGGGCGCCAAGGCCAATCCCCCTTTTACTCAACCATTCTCTACCTTCTGCAGTGACCCCTGCCGAATACTCACCTGCATTTGCCAAAAGCAAATGCTCTCTTGCTCTCTTCCACACCCAAGACCGGGGGGGGGGGTGCAGGGGAAGACATGGCAGAGGAGATCTATCCCTCCAGACTTGGGCAATGTGCTTTTAGGAATTATGCAAAGGTGTGGGTAGAGGAAATCAACAAAAAGGGGGAAGAGTGGGAGCAGCTTGCCCAGTCCTAGCCAAGGGGACAGCCCAGTGAGCAAGCCCCAGGTCTTTACCAGAGTTTCCCAGCGGAAGATGTTGCTGTAGAAGCAGATCCAATTTTCAGAGAGGTAGAGTCGGCCCTGAAGAAGAATGTCTCTTTGGAGTGCACATGAGTAATCTGCGGTAGGATGGGGGACAGAGGAGCTCAGAGACAGGAAAGCATCTTTAGCAAACCTACAAATCAGGCATGCCATCTCTCCCACTGGCCCTGGGGGTACCCCACTGCCTACCATGTCCTAGGTGGGTGAGCCACTTGAACTAGTGCCCAAGGAATTCCCTAGCATCTCATGTGATATGAAATACACTGCTACTGTCTAGAGGCAGAGGGAAGGAGATGATGGCAGAGAGGCCAAGAAAGTCAGAGGGAGAAAAGGCCAATAAAAGGCAACTAACACCCCTCCCCCATCCAAGTGACTCCAACTCTTCACTCCTGGGTCATCTGCAGAGGTAAGAGTGGCAGTGACTCACTCCAGGTTGGGCTCTCTGCCAAGGTCACCACACACAGCCCAGCCCTAAGCCCTCAACCACTGGGGTCAGTGCTCTGGACATCTCTCCCTGCTCCCAGACAGATGTGCTTCCTTGGCTTGGCTCCTAGGTGTGGAACCTCAAGACAAAAGCAGCCTGAGTGCTGTCCTTGGGACACCCACACTTCCTTCCTGCTCCCTTCCCTGCTCCCAGGTCTCCCAGCTCACCCACAATGAGGCGCTCCGTGTCTGGAAGTTGCTTAAACAGCTTTCTGAAGTCTTCATTTCTCTGCTTGTAAGTTGGGCTTAACACCTGCATGACAATGACCAAGGTTAGCAGGATGTTCCCAGGTTCTGTGGGGTTGGGGAGGAAGATATAGGAAGAGCACCTGCTTCATGTCCAAAAGGCAAAGATAAGGCTCTGTTCTCACACAGTAGCCTGGTTAGGCAAAGGGGGGTTGAGTACGCATGGAAAAACACCATGGAGACAATCTGACACTCTGAAAGGGTTCGTACCCGGTGTCCATCAATGAGAAAACGTCAAACATACTAAGCAGGGCCCAGATTATGTCCCAAGAGGAGAAAGGAAGGAGGGACACCTCCAGGGAGCTTCCTGGGACCCACCATGAGATCTGCTGCTCTCCTGCCTTCTGCCGGCAGGAAGTACCACCCTGACACCCCACAGGGCTCCCCTAGCCCCACAACCGGACCCAGAATATGATGGTACTCAGTGGACCCTTTGGAAGCAGTGGTTATCAAGACTGGCAGTAATGTAAGAATCAGCTATGTAAGAAATTCATGAGTGGAGAAAAAATCGTAAAATTTAAGATTACTATGTTGTTTTATGTCCATTCTATCTCAGTAAAATGGGGTGGGGGGGCGTAAGAACTATACTTTGCCAAGAATGAATTTTTAAAAATCATAAAACTAGTCCTAGAATAAGCACACAAGTAGAGAATTTAAAAGCATATGTGGTAACTAGAGGCACCCAACCTTCACTCCCTCTCCACCCTTTACAAGATTATCTAATCCAATCCTTACATTATTAATGAAGAAACAAAGGCCAGAGAGGAGACCCCTGCCCAAGATCCCCAAGCTGGTCAGTGGCAAATTTCTGGATCCCTGGTCCTGTGCTCACCTCTCACCACTCCCTGTGCCACCAGATGACCCTGTGCCCACTTAGCTTTTTGGGTGCCTCCATGGAGACCCATACCTGTAAACTACCTTAGCAAATCCTTCTTGGAAATGCCATCAGCCAGCGGAATAGACAAGAATCCTGATCTTTCCAAGCTTACAGTCTTAAAATGAAAAAAAAAAAAAAAAGAAGTATAGCCTGTGGATGAAAGGCACCCACGGATGATTCATGAAGACCAGTGCACAACCCAGGAAGGGGCACGCATCACAACAGAGAAACATCTGTACTCCATCCAGGCGAGTCACTGACCGACCTACTCATGCCGGGAGCACACGCTTGCAGACTGTTCTGGTGATGGTGACAGATAGGTCTTGGCCATCTCCACTCACTTTCCTGGGAATCCACTGGCGGATTCGATCCAATGCGGCGACAATGAGATGCACTTTAGACTGTTCATTTTTGCCTTTCTGCAAAGCCGGCTGGCCCCGGGGCAAGCTCGGGCTGTGGTGTGACCACGTTCAGAGTACACACTTGACTACCTGAGCTCAGTGGCCCGATGGCTTTTGTGCTAGAGGAGTATTTCAGGAAGTTGGAGGAGGAGAGAGAATGGTATGTCTTCAGTTTGGGGAAGTATTTCCAGAGACAGAGCAAGGACAGTGCTTTCAGCTACTCTGTCTACAGTTTATTTGAATTTTAAACTTCTGTTTTGGCTTGTTTATAAAATGAGCTATACTTGCAATAGTCGATGCCCTGCTACCTTTCCTAAGCCACGCTACGCTGTAGAATCCCAAACTTCAAAGATCACCTGCCATATGTTTAAACCCAAGTATTAGGCCCCCCAGGAATGAATATCCAGAAGCCAAACTGTCTTCTGCCTTCTATGGCTAGAAAAGACCTCCAGATACTACCTACACTCCTGTGGCCCATGTTAGTTCCAAACCAACACGGACATATCCAATCTGACTGGCGCCCCGGCCTTGCAGGACAGAGCCCACACATTGAAAACCTTTGCATGATCACCTGATCATCAGTAAGTTCCTAACTATGTCTCACTGACCTTCTAGAGCTACAGCTGAGCTAACGTGAAATGAGTTATCGCCACACGCCATGCATTGCCGCTAACCCTTCACGTACATCATTTCATTGAGCCACAGACTGTTTTTATTATCCCTTTTACACCCGATGGAGTTGAGGCAGAGAGGTTAAGCAACTTGTTCAAAGTATGTGGACACTAAGTGGGAGAGGAGAGCATGAACCAAGGCAGTCTGACCTGGAGCCCCTGGTCCCAAGAGGGAAATAACAGGGGTGTCCCAGCAGAGCACACGCTCTTGGGGATGAGATGTTCACCTACTCTGGGGCCCCCACTAGTCTTTTATGCCCACAAGTGGGTCTTTTTTTCCCCAGGGTGGGTGGTAATAAAGCCTGTTTTTCAAGACGACAGAGTTTTAGAAATTGGTTGTAGAACAGTGCAAATGCACTTAAGGCCTCTGAGCTGAGAAATACTTAAAAACACTTAAGATGGTAAGTTTTATGTTATTTACCACAATGACGTTTCTTTAAAAAATGTATCCCTCAGGTAGGCCTTCATAGTTACATCGAGCCACTGTCAGCCTGAGGACAGCCCACCAGATGGCCCCAAGCCCCCTGCAGGGGTAACCGGGCATCAGGCATCCAATTCTCTGAAGCCTCCAATTTCTTTCTTTACTTTTTTTTTTTTTTTTTTTTTTTAAGATTCATGAGAGACACAGAGAGAGGCAGAGACATAAGCAGAAGGAGAAGGAGGCTCCCTGCGAGGAGCCTGATGAGGGACTCGATCCCAGGACCCTTGGATCATGACCTGAGCCTAACCACTGAGCAACCCAGGTGCCCCTCCTCCAATTTCTAATGTGCTTTTTGCACATGGCCACTCTCACATCCTCTCTCATCTCCACCATTTACATTTACAGAGGTGGAGGTGTGTGGCATCTGGCCATTGTCTCCAAACCAAAACTCTGGCTAAAGGAGGGAGCCTCTCCTCTCCTCTCCTCAGAACAGAGCTGTGGGGAGGAGGAGGGAGGGCCACTCCAGAACCTGACCTCTGAACTCGGCCACTTCTACAAAAACTGGCTTGGGTGCAGGGACCCCTTAACCCAGCCTTGTAAATAAATGCCCCGATTCTATGAGGCTGCCAATGTGGATGGCAGGCCACCCTCTGCCTCCTAGACTCTAAAGTAGAGATGCATCAGGCCAACCTGCCACCATATACCTTCGACACAAGAGACCATGACCCTCTGCCTCCCACCCCTGCAATCTTAAAGCCATCTCCTCTAAAAGGGAGGCATGGCTCACCTACTTTAATTTTAAAAGGTCAGAGAATTTTGGTTTAAGGATGGTCAGGTGTAAGGCCCTCGGGGAGCAGGGCCAAGTGGGGAATTACAAGGGTGCAGCACAACTGTCACACAGGCCCAGAGAAGTTGGGATGCACACTCACGGCTGGGACCTCCTCAGATCCATGCCAGTAGCAGAGTTCTGCATCAGCAGGTAAATCTGTAAACTTCTTCAGGTACCACTGCAAAGACTGGCTGTCCTGCTCCAGCAGGAGGCTCCAGAGGACCCCAGACTCTGTCAGAGATTCCATCGCCCTCCACGGCTCCACCTCCCAATGGAGTCCAGCTTCTTGAGCTCTGGTTCCCAACTGTCCCCTCAGAATGAAACAGTCTCGTCTGGGCTGAACGCAGATGGGCAACCCTGTGGCTCCTCGAGGGTCTGTGTGATCTTGACTGGCCTCCACTTGTCTCCCAGAGCTCCGTTCCCAGCATGAAGCCTCACAAGTGGGAGGGTGTGGTCAGCATGGTTCGTGGGACAGGCTGGCCAGCCAGTCTCCCATGGCCAGGTTTTGCTTCACCCCACTCGGGCTCCCACGATGTGGCTGGGCGTTGGCTGATGGTGACCCAGAGGGGACGTGGTGAAGCCCCTCCTCCTAGTTAGTGTGGACAGTCACTCCAAGAGGCCAATTGAGGCCAGAAGATGCAGACGATGCAGCAGGTGCACAGGGCCAGCTGGAGGGCTCCAAACAGCAGGCCGCTGGTGGACAAACCCCGTAGGAAGGGGATGACCCCACAGCCAGGTCCAGAAGTGCAGCCCGCTGGTTACTCACACATAGCTCCTAGCTGGTCAGAAACTCCAGGGACAGAATGCGCTCCCAGCTCCCCAGCTGCGTCTGGCCTGTCCCATAAGGCCGTTCACGGTGCAATCTGTCCTCTGGGCGGGCACTGGTCCCTGTGACTCACAGCCCTCTCCCAGGCACAGCGGCCACCACTGGCTGCAGCAACAAGGCCAGCTCTCACCCCCACCCCTCCACACACCCCTTTCCTCCCAGCTCGTGCTCTCCTTAGCTGACCAGCACACAACTTCTTTGTTAAGAGTTGCCCGTGGCAGGAGGGAGGCAGAGTGGGTAGGCGGGCAGGGCCAGAGCCCTACACATGCCTCAAGTTACAGGATCTGGGTGATGGTACTGGCCAACGTCCTCTAGTAACCCCCCGGCCTAGCCTGGCCTCCCCAGCAGATGTTTCCTGCAATGGAAAGTAGCTGGCCAGGGTTCCCGGGGGGGGGGGAGGGGCGGGGAGGTGTCAGGGGCGCCACTGCTCTGATGAAATCTGAAATCAGAGACTCTAACAGCCAGGGGACTTCTGGAGCACACTCTTTCCTGTGTGCAGCACCAGCAGGAGAATTTGGAAGTCTGACTCCTCTTGTTGCAGATGTGCTGGTGGGGAGAGGCTGGGCAGATCGCCTGGGGAAGGTGAGGTCACCGGCTCTGGGGACCCAGCCCGGCCTCCAGCACTAGCAGCAGGGGGATCCAGGCCAAGAGGATTCCCAGGCAGCTCCTCGGATTTTGAGGGCCAAGCAGCAACGCTAAGAGCAGAGAGTATGGCCCTGGGGTCCAAAGGAATTAGGAAAGCTGAGGAACAGGAGCCAGGCCAGTGGAGCCAGGAAGGGCTCCAGACAGAGAAGCTGAGGCAGCAAGTACACAGCATTGGGACTGGGAAGACCTGGGTTCCCAGGAGAAGTCAGACCTTTGAAACAAATGGAGCACCTGCCTCGCCCTCCACAGCTATGCCCACCGTGCTGCGAGGGTCCCAAATCTGTGTGTCATGATGAATGGTGCCTGAGGTTGGAGCCAGCAGCACTCAAATATGAGC